TGATCTAGTTCTGCTTATGGTTCGTGTTAAGTTGCCACGTAGCTGGGTTAGGGCAGCCGCACACCAACTGCGTCAAGACAAGCATCATGACTCAGACCGGTGTGCGGCGGTTTTTATAATCTCATTCGTTTCAACTGTGCTCCTTTCTTTGCGTCATGTCGCAGACATCGTGTCTTGACTGTTACACATCTTGACGCATGCCGGTTTGCGGTCTACCTTACAATTGTAACATGTACCTAAAAACTAACCGTATTCGATCAGAAGTTAATGCTACACGTCTGCCTTCTCTCTGAGAACTTTTTCATTGCTTGCGAGTTTCGCGTAACTCTTGCAACCGTAGCCAGCCGGAAGTCCATCCACTGAACGATTATTGGAAGGTGACAGCGATGCTTGACATGCAAGCCGTGGTAATCCACTCCGTAGACGAGATTCGAACGTATGACCTTGGGATCCGAGGCCTCGTGCACCACGTGTTATATAGCTGCGAACCCATCGCACAATGGGCGACTGGTAGTCTTAAACAGAATGAGGATTTTTATCTGTTGCAAGTTGTTGGCACTCACTCCATCTAGAAACCCTTGAGAAGCTAATAGTCGCTCAGTAAGTCTAGAAATTCAACAGTCTTTGTGGAGCCCGAAGGTTCGTTATTGTATTTTTAAGAGCCCATCACTGGGCCGTATGCTGATTCAAATTAATCCAGAACACACCTTCACAATGCATTCCATCTGGACCCATGTCTTCCAAGTGCTCTGTTCCTTTCAGTTTTGCAGACTACTATCACTCATGCAGTTTTCATTTTTACATGCCCCTTCGTAACAGTATTCAGGGAAGCGTGCACATTATGAACCTCCTCCTCATGTCGCAGCCTGCAGCCTTCTTAACATCTCATCTCTTGGGCCAGAATATTCTCTTCCGTACGATGTCACCAGCGCCCTCAGTCGGTGTTCCTCCTTGGTCTGAGAGACAGGGATTCACGCCCATGTAAACAACGAGTAATTCTGTATACAGACTTATATATCTTAACATTTACTTGTATAGCTGTAGCGCAGTCGTTGTAGCGGTTGGCTACTGGCTGGACAGGGGTCGGAGTTCTAATCGCGTTAAAAGGTAAAGCTATCCTTGTAACAGGCCGTGGAGGCCCAGAGGGTTGTGAGACGTTGAGGGTGACACATTATCTAGACATTCGGCTCACAGATGGCGTAAGGTTGTCAGTCTTACGCACCGGCCGCCCTTTACCCCGCAGGAAGATTCTTGGTACTCATTTCTGTTAAGAGGCTGAGTCGACCCCAGGGCCATAGTGCGGCTGGAAGGATTAGGTCAATTGAAAAAAAAATCACCTCGTCGGTACTGGAACGTGCGACCTTCCGGCTTGTAGCATAGTGTCTCAACCAACTACGCTGTGCCCCCTCGAGTCCCGGTAGGGGCAAAAATTTTCACTTCTGCATGTCGTCCAGACCGGCTCTGGGGTTTACCCAACCTATCCAATTGGTACTGGGGTCTTTTTCCACGGGAATAAAGCGGGCGGAGCGTGAAGCTGTCCACTCACCTCCAAGTAATGCCGAGGTCAAGAAAATATGGATCTATGTATGTGCCTTCATGGTGTAATGCTTAATTGGTTAAGCCTATACCTTGTTTAGCTGGGAGACGAAGACGTTGAGATTGTGAACTGAGTGATAGGAAGGCTGCCAGTAACTAGGTCTGCTTTTAATTAATGTTGTTAATAATTTGAGCTATACGGACTGAATCTGTCGTTAATTGAATCGCAAATGGTAGCAAAGTTCGTGCAGTTCGTCCAGCAGCATCACAAAACCGTGAATCATGAATCAGGAACCGTTTGTTTGTGTGTCCCGTGAGAACGGACGTTGTTTATACAGAAGAGCGAGCGAATGCGGTCAAGGACGTAACAGCGCATGCCTCAAAAGGCTCCATAAAACATCGTAATTAAACAAAAACTTAACCACTGATGCACGATGTCCACCTGCCAAAATGATTAGTTTTTAGTCGTAGATTGCTTGTAGCGGTAATCACTCTGGGCCGAAATTTAGATAGGGTGGCATTTGCCATCTGACGTTCTGGCTAGTGGTAGGAGGGACAGGTGGAAGTTCGTTTCGGGCAGGTGCTACGAGTACATGACGCGCTGCCTCTGCTGGTTGCTGCTGTGACCACATGGCCCAGTGTCAGCATGCCCATGGTTTCAAGCCAGCAACACGATTATGTGGGCATCGTGTTATCGACTTTCGACTTATTTGATATGTCAACTTTTAAAGGTTATTGGATTATATTTTCCCCCCAGTTTCAATCTCGCAACATGTATACTTCTGTGATAACGATAAACATTATTGCAATACCCATGTAACAGTATAGACCACCAGACAAAAAGCAAACACGAGGAACACGCATGCGTAGTATAGGTACCCTAAGAGAACCTGCTTCTACATGCTCATCAGGAAAACGATCATTATACAGGGCCGAGGATAATTTTTTTCCTTGGCACTACAGCCCCAGTGGGCCTAGGCCTACCTCCATGAACTTCTCCGTTCACTTAGGTTTTTCTAGATCTTACACATTCGGTAGGACTCCTTGGGCGGGTGATCAGCTCATCGTAAGGCCTCTACCTGTACACAGACACAGAAAAACTCACACAAACATCCATGCCCCGAGTGGGATTCGAACCCACGATCCCGGTTTCCAAGCGAGCGAAGACAGTACATGCCTTAGACCGCTCGGCTACCGTGACCGGCCGAGGCTAATTTATCTATATATATGTGTGTGTGGCTCTACAGCCCGTTTTTGGACCTTGGCCACTTTTTCGGTTTCTTATTTTGTACACAGTCGGTAGGACTCATTGGACGGAGGATCAGCCCGTCGCAAGGCCGCTACTGACACACAGAATAAACGCAAACAGACGTGCATGCCTTGAATGGGATTCGAACCCATGATCCCAGTGTTCTAGCGGGCGAAGACGTTTCATGCCTTAGGCCCCCCCATACACACAGTTTGGCCTTCCGATCGACCTTACAGGCAAAACTGTGACAGTTTACCCCCTCCCTTTCCTCCCCATACACGCGCAGATAAAGCGGCAGGCTTCATGCCACAATCACGGTCTTCCAGCCTATAATGTTGAGTCACACACGTCACGTGCTACGGTCCTGCAGGCAGAACTGACGGACTGACGGGTTTCCCACAGGCCAACAGTCCAAACGATTGGCCGGCCGGCCGCACCACACAAGTCAGTTTTGCCTTTCAGTCTTCAACTGTGCAGGCCGAACTGGAGGCCAAACTGTGTGTATGGGGGCCCTTAGGCCGCACGGCCACTGCGACCGGCGGATCCAAGGCTACGCGTCAAAATAGAATAATAAAAATAACAGATTGCAGTAATAACAAGAATAATAATTAACCAACATTGGTCTAATTTTAGCTAGTTTAGAAGTATCGTGTCTGTTTTAACTTAATTAAAACCTAAGTAGGTATAAAACAGTTTTAAGGCTGATGCAAAATCGAAAGACTGGCTGTTTTTCTGTTCACTAACACAGTTCAGCGTAGCGGCAATGCACGTGGTCTACATCCAGGCGGAAGTACCAAGTTAGGTCAGAATTACTGGGGGTTTTGCACCTTTTCCATCGTCCGTTATTCAAGAGACTAGAAAACACCACGTTTCGGAAACTGGATTTTTTTCCGCCCTCGGGTAACGTGGGGTTAAGACACCAACTTATTTCGGTCCCTCAGAAAGAGCTAACGGTCCGGTGATCGAGGTTAGCTCTTTCTAAGGGACCCAACTCAGTAGATGCCTACCCCCCCCCCTTACCTGGGGACAAACAGATCTAGGTTTCTAGTCTCTAGAATTTCAGACGACGGGAAAAAAATCCCAAACCACAAAAATGCGTTATGCACCACCTTCAGAACCGTTTAGAAAATACCAAGTTTGACTCTAGAACAACCGAACAGTATGGTTGAGTGGCTTCGCATCGGGGAGCCCCTGGGTTGTCAGCCCGAAGTCCTTCTACTTACGTGCTTTTTGTCTTCTTCAGTCCGGTGCAGGCAAATACATCTGTTCCTTTCAAATTAATTATTCAGAAATCATCCTGTCATTCAGCGTTAAATTCTGGAAGTTGAAAGTGTCATTAAATATTCAAAGAATATATATAAGCAGATGGGTCTGGTGTAGTGGAAATGCAGTTGGCTTTCGAAGTGGGAAGTGCTCCCCAGGGCAAGCTTCCTTGTGATTTCCTCAGCCCCGACGTCACAGTTTCATTGTAACTCCTTCAACTCTCTTGAAATGGGCCATGGCTACCTAGCATCTGATTCACCAATCATGAACACCTATCTAAGTTTGCAGTTTCTGGTGACAGTACTTCTGATCCACATTCATGGAATGTGCAGTTGTAATCACGGCAAAGAGTCCATGGCCCCCATTAAGGATTTTGTAGGTTTTTTATTTAACTTTAAAGGCCCCAAACACATGTTCTCATACGCCTTCCAAATCATTATCGACAATAAATATTAACCTGTTGTTAACATCATGACTAATCTCAGCACTTGCTAGACTGGTGTAAAAAAAACTCCGTGATTTTAGTCCGCAAGCGAAGTAGACCGAGCGAGCGACCGCCGCTTGTCAGCGAAGTTTAGTGCCAACTTTTACGGATAGAGGATGTCGCGTGGTCAGCGCAACGAATCCCCACGACCGTTAATTTCGGTTTTCTAGACCGGATCTGCTATTTCCTTGAAATAGCTCCTCAATTATCATAATGAGGCTGAGTGGACCCCGTTCCACATCCACTACTTCTCAGAAAAAAAAATCAGGTAGTACCGGGAATCGAACCCGGACCTCTGGATCTGTAGCCAGGAATGCTGCTTGACAGAGGCGGTCTGCTAGACTGTTGCAAAACAAATGAAAAATTAACTCTGTATCTAATATAGTACCTAAATAGTGTATGAAGCAGTAAAAAACCAGATGCTTGTAATTCTGTTGAGCTCCAAAGAAATGTTCTCAATTGTTTCAGGCTGCAATACTCCAGCAGACTGCGGAGTATATCTATCAGCTGGAGCAGGAGAAGACCAGCCTCCTGTCACAGAATTGTCAGTTGAAGAGGCTTGTCAACCAACATGAAGGTCAGCATGAGCCTAGCTCTGCAAAGAAGAGGAAAATTGAAACAACCAGTGAGTAGTTCATGCTCAGTGTCTCTGTAGGTGAATTTCGTGCGGTTTTTCTTACGCCAGACAGATTCCAGTAATAAAATCAATTCTTCAGGAAAAAATAAAAACATCAGTTCTCCTGTTTATATAAGCCAACTGAAAGTTTTGCATTGCACAGCATTAACAGTTCCTCATATGCATTTTTACATCAGACGTGCCGAACGTTCTGTGCTGTAGCATACTGCCTTGTTTTTTTAAATACATGGGATATGTTTTACTGTGACACATAAAACAACATAACTGTAGGACATGCATTACTGACACATTAACACTATATGCTCTTCCAGGATTTTTTTGGGAGTCAATTTGCTTACAAACTTAGATTTAAATCACTGCTTTTACTGCTAATCATATAATCTTCTGGATAGAAGAATAAATTTTTTAATTCTTGGTTTTTGGTTTTAATATTTGGTATATATCCTCCCCCCTCCGAAATTTTGTTTATTCTGTGGTTTTCCCTCTACCTGCCACTGTGCAAGACAATAACATGGTATTGCCAGTTATCATGTTTTAATCGTGATATCATTTCAGTTGTCACTGGATATCATAAACTAGGGAATGGCGTGTTTTGCCTAGGATCTGCTGATCATCTGGTTCACTGTTACACGATTCTTGACATAAGTCTGAGCGCTCATGCAAACAGCTCTGAACATAAGTACAAAGATTGGTCAGGGCTGAAGAGCTATTTGGCATTCCTGACAAAGTGGAACTTGTACTCTTCAGCAAGAAAGGGGAGGTTGACAGAACCTGTTCTCCTGGATGGAGTAATATGTTTTGCCAAGGCAGTGAAGCATGTGGAGGTTTTCCTGTATACAAAATTGGCTTGAAGGAAGCAAAGTTAATATAGCTTACTATTGCTTCTGGTCATGTAGGACCCTTAAGAAAACTTGAGCCATAAACCAGAGATTGTGCATTGGCTTTGTTGGGGCCTGTGTTTATGTATGCAGTGATTGTGTGGTTATAGTCAGGGGTGAACTTGGTCACCTGCAGAGACTGATGTGAGTGCATGTATGCGCGCTCCTACAGCTGCCCTTGAGGCCTCCTTCATTTCTTAGTAGAGGCTCAGAAGTATAGGATTGTAGTCTGTAGGTAGACATTTGTCCAACCATTGGAGTTGGACCCTATATTTCACATGAGTGAGAGTAAAATGGTACCAGTGATTGTGTCTGTGACTCTCTTTAAACTGGAGATCATATCATGCAAACATTGACTAGCAGGTTTGCCTGTGATCTGTCCAAAGGACTAGTTTGGTATACAGATGGGTGGAAGTTGGCTGGCAGATATGGGGCAGGTGTATGCGGGGTTAGGCCACAGAAGAGGCTGTCCTTTTCACCTGGTATACATGCCACAGTTTTCCAGGCAGAAGTTACTGTGATTTTGGCCTGTGCAAAGTAGTGTACAGGTGAGAACTTCTACACATGCTCAGATAGATAAGCAGTTTTGTGGAGCCTGGAATCCACATTCAGAATGCCTAGGCCACACACTTTTCTGATCCACTTACCTATGACATCCGCTTTTCTTTATGGCAGTATCTGCCTGTAAGAGACATCAACATCAGTAATAATATCATCAATTATAATATAAATGCAGTTTGAAGTGAAAAGTGTTATGGATGGGAGGATTAGGTAAGTGTAGTAAAGCAAAATGAAGGAAAACGAAAACATGACATTACACATTCATTAATGTTAGTTAATTATATAGTATGTTTCACTTTTCTACTAATGTTTGTGTGCTGTGTTTAGTTTGAACGTGTTTATGTGTGTTATTTGTCTCTTGTCTTATTGTAGTACCACTACCAGGGAGTGAAAACCCATTTGCAGTTAAATAATAATAAATAAATAAAAAATTCCAGATGTTACTTGGGCAAGGAGGTCTAGATACTGTGTTTATGTAAGATGTGAAATGAGAGTTTATACTCCTCAGACGTTTCATATCATGCTGTTACAACTATTTATTTTTATTATATATTTATATTTATATATTATTTATAGGTGTTGTGGTACCTCTTACTGCAGTTCCAGCAACAGTAAGCGAATCTTCAGATGAAGGTATTGGCAGCATGTCACCAGAACCAGTTGCCATCATCACAAACACAACTGTCTCCAACATCGGCGGTCTCGACAATGGAGACCCCAGTCGGGAAATGATTGAATTGCGAGTGCAACTCGACCGTGAACGGAGGCTTCGCATGCATCTGGAAGACCAGGTATCACAGTTCAGATCACTAAGCAAGTTGGCTCAGACAGTAACACTTCTGACTTGCATTTGAGTGGTGCCTGGTTTGAATCTTGGCCCATACCTTGACTATCCTGACATTTTTCGTGGTCTTCCCCAGCTCTCGAGGCATGTGACACGATAATACTCCAAAATGGGTCCTACTACTTCCTCCATGTCTTTTTCAATTCATTATCCGCTATCTTCCAACCATTCGACACCGAGTAATCTGACCTACAGACAGCAACATTAAATAATAAACAGACAGAAACGTTAGATGGAGCTACACTCTACTGGGAGATTGTTTAACACTTCTGTCCATGAGCTCCTGTCTGGTTGGTGTTTGGGACTTTCTTTCAGTGTCCAGTGTAACGGAGCAGTGGATGTGATTTCATTTTCATATTCAGGATATACTGAACACAGCCGATAATGCAGGCTATGAGCAAATAGTTGTGTTCATCAGAACATTATTTTCTTAACATATTATATTGTCTGAATTCCATATTGCACAGACATGCAGTGTACCTAGCAAGAAGCAGGTGGCAAGCTAGGCCTCTTTCTTGCTTGTTTTCTACTTGGCTTACTCTTCAACCCTGAAGATGGAGGCAGTATATTCCTCCAAAACATTGGTAGACTACTGCTGAACTGCACAGTATTACATCTGAGAAGACAGTACTTTTCAGTGTACTAAATTATTTTATGATTTATTTAGCAATGTTGTCAGTAAGACAATAAGCAATGATGGTAGAACAATTAATGAAATGGAAAGAATTTGGAAGGAGACGATTACGGTCTAATTTGAGGTATTATCCCAATATTTTCTTAGAAGGGCTGAGGAAGCCCACAAAAAAGAAAAACCTCAGCATAGTCAGTATCCCAGCTGAAATTCGAACTGGATACCTTCAAATACAAGCCAGAAGGGATAGTGCTTGTGCAACCTTGCTTAGCAGCGTGTACAAAGCATCATCAGTGCTATGTTTGTGGATAACTTTCAGCTTGATTATGCTAACTAATGATTCTCTCGAGATAGATCATAAACGTTGTTACACCTGTTAACCGTATTATATTTAAAAAATTTGCATACGCATTAGTGTTGCAAAATTTGAATGTTACATATTAAAAGAAAGTAACAAACTTGATAATGGAAGCTGTTCCCAGATATGGATCTGTAAATTCTATGGTTTTTAGTGTGTATGTCTGCTTATGTGACTGTATAGGTTCAAACATTTAATGGAAAGTCACTGGTACCAGAAGCTGATGTTTCAACGGTGCTAAATGAATATTTCTTCTTTTCTTCCCTTGTGGAAGGGTTGTTTGTCATCACTGTCATCTGTACCCACACTTGATATGGGAGAATCAGTCTGTCAATGACAGTAGGATCTTGCTTACTTATGACTTAGTAAAACTTGTCATAAAAAGTATTTTTTAATCAGCATCTTAGATACAGTGAACTGTGTTAGAAACATGTGACACAATTTTTTATTTTCAAGTAATCAATGCATTTGTAGATCCTATAAGCATGGATCTATCCAATATTTTTGAGGTTGTTCTATGTAGAGAGTTGCCATTGTCTGTAACCTACAGAAATTATAATTATGATTTTAGGTTTCCATATGTACATAGCAGAAAATAAAATGTAATGGTGAATTTCAGGTACGATCATTGGAATCACAGCTGTACCCAGAACGGATTCGTGAGATCACACAGCAAGTTCAGTTGCAGTATCATCACCAGGAAGTACTGGAACACTCATCTCCCACAGTCACAGTAACAGCATCGTCACAGAGGTGTCGTAGTGAATCACAACCACCACTTCCCACCCAAACATCAACGCAGCCAGTTGGCAGCAGCAACAGTCTCGTCCCCGTCTCTCTTCTGCAGGAAACAGCGGCTGCAGTAGCTCAATTACAGGTTTGTTTCTAGGCCCGCATCACACGGGCTTTAGGAAAGAGTGCCCAGTATCTGGCAAATGCATCATAGAAATTTTGTGATAATACTTGATATCTAGGAGCTGGGATAATACATTTGGTGTAGTGACTGGCTGTGGGGCGGGCAGCCGAAGGATGAGAGTTTGAGTCCTGGCAGGGGCAAAATTTTTTCCTCTCTATGTCATCCAGACCAGTTCTAGGGCCCGTGTTGCTTCCTATCCAGTGGGTACCACTTACCATCACTTCGTGCCAAGGTCAAGAATATGTAGATCTATGCAATCCCCCCCCGTAGATGTTGATGACATTGTGCTTAAATAATTAAGCACAGGGACAACTTTAATTGGTATCTGTAAATTAATACAGTATATCAAGAAAACATATTTAATATATAAATGCTGATTCTGCAGATCCATGTATTTTGTAATCTCTGTGTAGCACAAAACTGTGCTATTTGTATAAGGTCTGAGGTTTTCATGGTAGTGATTTTTCAGTTGTGGTCTTATGAGCTGTGATACCGTGTAGTCTTGTACAAGTAGGTGGATGTGGATGTTTCAGAGAAACAAGTGGTATCTGTCTACAAGACTACAAGAAGGCCAAAATCTGAATTATTATTTGTGTGAATGCCCATTTCACAAAATTTGGGAAGACATTTCTACCAGTATTAGAAAGAAGGACATGTTTGAATGGCTGTAATAATTGTGTAATGCACGTGAAATTATGTAGTATACAGTACTGAAGACTGGATTCAGTTTGATACTTGGGGAATTTAAATTTTTTTTAAATTGGGTAAAATTAAGAATTTTTAAATTGAAGTGATTCAGCTTTGATGTAAATGTCTCTGTTTCTTCAGTTAACTAAATGTAATTTTTAAGCCTTCTCTCTGCATTATAAGAAATGTTTAGTTTCTAGTTTACTCTAACAAGAACTGTAACTAATTGTCATACAGTGTAGGAATGAATTCCTGTGTGTAACTTTGCATTTGGATGATTCTGATTTCATTGAAAGTCCATTCATAGTTGCATTTAAAAAATAGTTTTGAAGAGAAGTTGATCTGTTTCCATTATAAATTAAGCAGGTCACCACATTTGTTTCACTTTCTGCAGAAAAAATTACTGTAGCATAAGTTATTGTTATTGTATAGAAACTAAAGATACAAATGTGGGATGATATTTGTTAAAATGAAATTCATACCAGGTTTCTTGAATATTTGTCAGTTTGCCCAAATGTTAATAGAGGAGATATACAGAAAACATGAACCTACCTTTCCTTATAAAAAAATATCTTTCTGTATTGTATGTTGGCATACATGTTATTGCAGGTAGTGTCTGCAGCATCCTTGCCACCTGTGGCACAGAACACAACAATTGTGTCAACAAGTCCACTTCGACTATCTCCCACCCCACCCCCAGCAAGTCCGACTCCTGTGGTACCAGAATCACCTTGTCCTTCACCGCCTGCACCTGTTTCTCCTCAGCCTGAGCAACGTCTGCCAAGTGTTCTTGAAGCAGCCATCAAAGCTGAACCCAAAGTGGAGGTGGAACGCTTGCCGTCACCAACGTCTGCATCTGATGATGTTACACCACAAGCCAGGTAAATGAATGATAAGAGTGTGTAGTTGGTTGGTTGGTTCAAAAGTTCATGTTTGTTGATAAACGTAACTGAAACACGTCAGAAATTAAGATTACACTGCTATTTTTAATGCCTTTTGTGTAAGGAACAAAAGGCGTTTATCCTAGCACAAAATCTAGTTATTACAAGTTGTGTAATCAACTGTAAAATTAGATTATTTTGCTTTTATTTTTATTCATAAGTAGAGTTTTGTTTTATGTATGTGTGTATGAGGAAGATGTGAAGTGATTAACATGATTCCATGATTTCAGGGAAAATAAACATCTGGTAACAGTGGGCTATGTCAAAATTGGCGTGCCAGTAGAGTAACAATACACAAACTTTATAAGCAAAGAATTCTGTTTTCCTAACATGGGCCATTGTGAGGAGATAGGAAATTAAAAATGATGTTAGTGCTAAAATACTATAACCCAAGAATTTAATTTAGACAGGCAAGATATTACTTTTCTTTAGAGCTTTTGGCTATGAAAGGGTGTCATCTTATGTTGGAGGCCAACTTACATAGTGAAACATCTTTCGGTTAGTGGGGGGTTGAGTCCAGCTGGGTCCACTTGGCATGGCGGCCACTGATTGACCTACTGTACCTACCACGGGTGATTATGATGATGGAGAATTTGGTGGAATGAAGATTGGTATGGGAAACAAAAAGTACTCGGAGAAAATCCGCCACTTTATCCACAAATCCCACTTGACCAGACCCGGGCCACCACGGTGGGAAGCCAGCGACTAACCACTTGAGCTGTGGCATGGCCTTAGTGAAACATCTTACTTATATATTTCTGGGAATTGATGAAAAATGGTGTGACTTTGGGAAACACAAAAATCATAAGCTTGTTACTTACCTTCACTTTAACCTTCCATTGGAATGCTCAGCAAATAATGTAGGTAAATTACTAAGAAATGTGTGAACCGTTTCTACAACGTATAATATCATGATGCAAATTAAAATCATATCTCAAACACTGAATGTTTTTACACATAATGAGTAATATATTTATGTCTTCAAAAAATAATCTTGTGTTTGTGAGTGGGTATATATATGTACTCATATATATTTGTGAGTATGCATTTAGAGATAATTCCAAAAGAATTTCTGACTCCTATGGGTTAGGGTTTCAGATTTTGTAAAATAAAAAAGGGAGTGATGTCTCGTTGCTTGTTTATAATGACATTTTTCACAACTAATAGGCTATAAAATATACATAATTAACATACTACATATCTTACAAAATGCTACTACACATCTGTATTACACAGGCCTACTACACATTTATAGAACAAAACAAATATTACGTAGCCCTATTACATGTTTATAGAATGCACAAAATATTACCTAGCACACATTTGTAGAACACACAAATATTAAATACTACATATTTATAACTTTCAAGGCCTGGTCGATCAGATTCTGTTAATTGTATTTCACTGAACTCTTAGCACTTTTTAATAATTGAACATCAGCCTTTGAAAATTTATAAAATTCTGAACAGGACTTGCTTTCGTAGTTCACTGTCACCTGGAGTTCTGCCTTTATTAAATCTGTTGAGCATCTGTTTCTTGTGTCACTCCACTTACTTTTCATGAATGAAAAGATTCGCTCCACAAAAGCATTTGAGCCAGGGATGCTAAACAAAAATCCTACCACTTTGGAAATATTTGGTACATCATGCTCAGGTACTGAAGAAAAAAATGTAAGCCAGTTTGCTACATAATCACCATATCTGTTCACACTGTTGCAGAGTAATCTCGATGGCTGCTGAACTCCTCATACAGGTCATCAATGCAAACATTTTCACTTAGCTGAAACACTTCCATGGCCTTTTCAAAATCTTTGAACTCAATCCCTTCTTGTAGAGAAAATGCTGCAAGGGATGCATAGGGATTGTCATCTGTCACATCATATCTTTTTGCAGATACTGAAGCATATTGCTATAAAAGCTGTTCAGGTCTTCAGTAACCTTTTTCTGTAATGGCATAGACAATCCATTAATGAGTTCTTTTGCTTTGCTACAAAAAAAGTTGTCTTTCCTTCTCTGCTGGATTTTAGAACTGAGAAATTTCATTTGTTTGTAGGTCTCTAGTACACTTAAGTCAGACCCTTCCAGTGTTTTATCTAACATTTCCAGCTGACTTCCAATATTACTTAAGAAATTAAAGTAGATTTCAGGCAACACTGCTTCCTCTGGGTCATCTTTCATGAAAATGTTAGATAATAATTTTGGACAGTTGGGAATACTATTGAAGTAACTTTTCATTGCTTCCCAGTTCTGAAGCAGTCGAGAAATGGCTGATGTTAATGACAGCCACCCAGTTGGAACATGCCTCAAAATCTCAGTCCACTCCAAATTCAGAAATTCAAAGAATGATTTTAACTCTTCTCTTCTTTTGGCAGAGACAGAGAAATGATTATATATCTTTAAGACTACACTTTCAACATCAACATCTAATCTGTCAATTGCAAACTTAATTGTGTTATGTATGATGTGATTAGAGCAATTAGCTTTCAGTAAATTTGGCTTTTTACTTCGCAGCAACTGATATACGGAATGTGTTTTTCTATAGTTCACATTGGCGGTGTCTGCACAATAAGAAGACACATAATTTACATCCAAATCTTGCTTTCTAAGCTCTGAAGCCCCAAACCAGTAATTGCCATAGACGTTTCCTCAGCACTTTCAACAAAATCTAGAAGTTTATTCTGCACTCCCTTTAAAGGGTCGAAGTACCGGATGCAGACAGGGAACATTTTTCGATTGCTTCTGTTTGATGCATCGGTAGCCAACGAAAAAAATTTTGAAGTATTTTTTGGACATCTTAAAATAGACACAAAGTCATTTACACTTTTAGGAGCAACAACATATTTCACTATAATTTCTGCTTTAGTGCGTCCACATGAAAGTTTGGAAGCAATCGCGGAATCAGTGAAAATATGGGACACAAGTTTATTTCCGCAGTCCAGACTGGAATAACTTAAGTTGTGTTTCACTGCATGATACACTAAACCAAGTTCACACGCAGTTCTGTTTTCATATTCTACTTTATTCTTTAAATTAACGAAGTATTTCGAAAGTTTATTTGAACTTCCGGAATTACATTTTTCCTTAATTTTATGTTCCTTGTATTGTGCATGTTGCCTCAGGTCATTTTGTCCACCATGCGAAATACTAAAATCCTTCCTACACAACGTACAAGATGCCCAGTTCTCGTCTGGTCCCGGCTTAACCCACAAAAACATATCTTCCCATTTCTTAAGATATATTTGATTATGTTTGGCCTGGAATTTCAACTTCTTCCATGGAGGAGTCTTTGATGGATCTTCTTCGCCTTCAAACATTTTTGCTAACTTGACACCGACTTTCTAGTGAAGATTGAATGGATTAAAAATACACTATCACCAACAACCTCTGCTTTGGTTTAGAACCTCAAGTGTTTTCAACATTCACGAAATGCAACATAACTAAAGAAACTATAACAATGTCATTTTCCAAGGATTACAGAAATGTTATGATATTATTTAACCCATGAAATATAATTGGCAATGGACTTAAATAAAAAAAACGGACAATTATCCACTCCGGGTAAACAATAAACGGAGGAACAAAATTTGGGTGAAAAAGCGGAAGAATCCGGGGAGAACGGGGTATCTGGGAACCCTACTATTGGTACTGGATATGCTAGATACATAGTTGTTGATGTTATTGGCTGACATCATGTGTAAATATAGTGTATTGCATTTATGTTGACCTGCATGCCAGTTTCTTGTCACTATATAATTGATGAAGATATCTGAATTGTGTTGCTTTCATATGACCATTGTGTCTTAATGTTACCTGTTGTATCTGTTTGTGTTAGTACTGCCCTCTTCAATCTTCAGTCTTTAAATGAATAAACTTTTTTTTTAGGTTGTATTTGGCCAGCACATCACGGCAAAACCTGGAGACTATTGTGGAGGCAATCAGACACTTGGAAGGTGATCACCTGTTCAGTGATGATCCTTCACCACGTGGTCAGCAGCAGCACCTTTCAAGCAGCATAATGGATGAACCTGCCCAGGAAGTTCCTCTGGCTCTGACCACGCACAACAAGACCGTCACACAATCCACACAGACGCAGGTAGCTCATCGCCTGCTGAAGGTTGAGATGAACCCCTTTCTTCAGTTCCACAGTACACCGCAGTCAACACAACAGAGAGTGGCCCTTCAGCAGCAACGTCCAGGAGTCATCGTTGTCAAGCAGCATACATGATTGTGTTGTAACGTCGTTAGATAAACTGCACACCCTGTCCCTACCCAATTGCTATATCTCCACTGTTCTCTCAAGTACATTGCAATATTTGGGAGAAGGGGGGGCGGAATCTGTTGATGCTGAAAATTGAGTGCCTAAACCAAAGCTCCTATAAAAACAAGTGCTGTTAGCTAATCAGCTGTCTTACATTATATAAATAGTATTTACTTGTGGTTATGTCCTCCAGTTCCATTTATGTAAAGTTCATTAATGGTACTAATTAGTCAAATGTGTAATTGGTAAAGTGTTAACAGTATTTGTCATCAGATCACTCTCAATATATTTTCAGTATATTTATAAATCAGTGAAGTAGTCAGATATGTATTGTTTTATTTTGTCATTTCCTTTATTCATTCTCAGTAATACCACGTGAATGTATTTCGTATGAAAATAATATGTTTGAAGAAAACAGTATGAAGAGGTTTATGCTCAAGTTTTGGTATACAGATTTTTCTTACCCCCTTCATTCCTGGAAGACCAGTGTATCGCAGTTGGTACAGAAACGTACTTCAAATGACATTGTTTTCTTCCCACACTACTTTATGGATTGAATAAAACTGTTTCTTTACCGATCTGTATCTGATCCTATGAAGTGACAAGTCTTTTTAAGATGGGCAGGTATGGTTCACATTGAACAAGAAATGTGAGGGTGTTACAGAAGCAGAATGATTGGTGATGTGGCAGAATGACACAAGCATTCAGTGATACCATAATGTCCTCTGTTGGCTGAGACCATTACTGAAGATTCTTTGAAGTAAAATAATGTGCATGTGGTATAGATTGGACTTGGGCAAGCTGTCTGCTCATTTGAAGGTTTCTGCTGCCAGCCCCTCCTTTCTCCATTTTGTGCTGTTATGAATGAAGGTGTGAATTGCAAGAAATATTTGACCAGTGTGGACCTGCCTATTCCTACATATGTGCCCCCATTCCCTGGTGTCTTCAGTCATACCTTCTGAACCTTCTTTTGCTTAATTTTGTCTCACCCAGGCAGTTATTAACAGCTCGTTTGACTATGTCACTTTTCATTGACAGATTATTGTAGGGGAGACAGCGTTGCTGTTAAGTGAGAGAAGTTACTTGTTAACTTTGTTTTCCTAATTTTCAAGGGTAAAAAACTGCTTATATTTGTATTGTTATTTAAAAAAAAGACAAAAAGAAAAAAAAATTAAAAATAGCGTTGATTTGCCAGTCATTTCGTCTTCTTTCTTTGTATATAGTCGACTACACCTGTTGTATGTGTTGTGATATTTTGACGAATGGTTGAACTGACATTAACAGGCAGATTTTGGATGAAGTAGTAATAATGACTTCTACCTTCCCCAAACAGGCTCTGTAGTGCAAGAGTTGCTGCCTATGGAGCCTTAGTTATATCCCTTATCTCACTTTATTTTGAATTCTGTCCTCGTATATAAATATATATATATTTTTTGTGTTTGTTCATATTTCTATATATTATATAATACTTGCGTGAGTGCGATTTGGCTTGCGTGTAACTGTATACGTATGACTTATCTTTTCTTCGGAATAATAATATTTGAGATAGTTGGCGGTAGCTTGCGTCTCGATATCACGTTTTTTTTTATCCATTGTAGATCTATGTTATTCCCTTCAAAAACTAGTTTATACTTGATTATTCTAATAATTATGACGTATAATTAAAGGAACTGCGTGCAGGAATGTGTGTTGACTGTTGCAATTGTGCACGTGACAGATGAATGCAAGAATGATTGTTTCATTAAAACATGTAGCGTCGCTATTAATATAAGCAAAACAGTTCCATTATGTGGGAACAGTACTGATAATTAGGTATTAAAAATATTAATTACTACTATTATTATTATTATTGCCCTCTCTTGAAATGAGATCTTTCCAAGTAGTTTGTTGGATTCTTACAGGATGTGGAAAGAATTCATTCAGATTCATTTTTTCAGATTTTGTTGAAGCTTGGGGCTGAAGGAAAATAGCGTTTTTCCCAGGGATAAGCTGCTTTCCAGCTTTGTTATATGTTTAGTTTCATAAGAGTTAAGACTTTGGGGCAGGGCAGTCATTCTTATTTCTATTATTAATGTTATTGATGGTAGTAGTAATATCTTTATTATTATTATTATTATTTCATTTTCATTTTTATCATAATAATTATCATCATCAGTCATTGCTAAAGAAAGTTCCTTGAAGTATAAAATGGATATCATACTAACATTGAAAACAATAGTTGTTGCATTCTTAGAGGACATGGAAATGGTGTTGGAGTCATAGGAAACAGGTTTGAATATATTATATATGTGAAATATAATGGTAAATGAGAATACCATGTTTAATTTTGCTTGGTTCATTCCCCCCCCCCGCATGGAGTTGTTGTGTTTATTCCTGTTTCAGACCCATAGAAATATTAATCTGTTTTTAAAGAGAAGAAAATGCCAAGACTTAAATGGAACACCTGATGGTGTGAGCGGTTACCATTGTTTTCAGAGTCATACAGAGTTATTTAATTAAAAAACCCTATTTTTGGATTCCATATTTCTTAAAAATACCAAATGTTAGATAATAAGGCGTTAGAATCTGTTGAATGTCCATTCACCATCTTTATGAAGAAGAATGCAATAACTATTGAATGTTGTGTTCATTATTCACATATTAATAATTCATCATTCATTGGGTCTGAAGACTTCTTTTCTCCCCATCCCCAGAGGTATAGCTACTTTTCTTAATTGCAGGAAAATGTATATTACACAGCAGATATACTCTAGCACTTTTTGTATTGGATAAATTTATGTTCCATATAAAGAAAAATATCTAAATTGATGTTTTAAAAATGAAAGGTGACTTTATTTAAGTACTGCATTTGTTATAGTTCACTTACCTCATCATTATGCATATTTCTGGATTCACTTTTCTCTCATAATGTTGTCATGATTGGCTCCCCAACCACCCCAAGTTTAATTGCTGTGATGTATTATAAATAATTATTAATTATACTTGTAATAATAAGGAGGAGTAATTCATAATTGTACTGGTATCTTTGCTCAAAATGCTCTGGTCTAGAGACTATAAAACTATCCCCCCTAGTAGTGTATATTTCACGCAATAGCCCATGGCGATTCTGTCCATGCACTAAGCATATAGTGTCATAACAAGTAGGTAGTGCGGCAATCAGTTGGATGACAGTGATATGTACTTCCCATACCTCCCTCCACACTGATGCCATTAGTTCCAGAACTTAGCTGGTTGTGCGAAATAAGTTAACTTTTCTGAGACCATTCTAACAAGATACTAATGCCAATTGAAACCATAGGTGTATGACAGCTATAACTTCTGTATCTTTTCTTGTTTGTCTGATGCATTTTTTTTAATAGTTCAGGACTGTAAAATTTCCAGACATTTAAATTGTGGCCAAAACACTTGGTAAGTTCTGAGATAGGGATCTCTTGAGCTGGCATTCATATTTCATTCTATTATTGCCACAGACTGAAATCTGTCATGTTTGATGTATGATTAACTTTGGAACTAATGGAGTCAGCCCTGTTTTTTGATACCAGTTTGTTGACTTGCACAGTAATGACATGATTTTTGTGAAGCTGTCAAATTCTGTTGAGGTATATGCTGTAGTTACCAACAGTTTAAAATGGGGATGAGATTTTTTAATGGCATTTTTTTTTTCAGTACTTTATATTGACATATGTGAAACACCAGAAGAGAACAAGGGTTAACATAATACTGACTGGTTGTATTAGTTCAACTTTTTCAACATTATAGTAAATTCTAGTTTATGGTTTACTAGCAAATACGTGAGCTATAATATTGTTTTATGCAGTTCAGCATGCCTTATGAGGTTATGTGTCATTGTAACAAATTGTTAGATTGTCTTGTAATTTTTATGTTAAAAGCATTTTTATGTACTGTAGTAAGACTTGCCATTTTCAGCTTTCTTCCTATTTTCCTTTTTTTTTTTTTTCCCCCCCCCGTATAAGTTTCATATATGTGGACTGGGAACACTGACACTTCAGTATTTTTTTAATCACACACACACACACACACATTGAGGTTTTTCATGTGACATCCACTTGTATTTTGTAAAAGTAGGTGAACAATGTATATTGATATGGCTATGGAGCAGTAAACAGGTATGAACAATATTTCATTTGCAGCAAAATAATAATAATAATAATTATTATTCTCTTGGGATCATTCTTGGTTCATATTATTACCCTTTGGGGTTGCATTATTTTATAAACTTTGTTAAACACATTAGTCATATTGCTATGGGTGTTTTGAAAGCTGTTCATGTAGCTTGTAAGTTAGGAATAGCTCGATTTTACAGGCAATATAAGCTGATATTTTATGAAGAAAAGCTGGAAATATGACACAGTAAATCCATAACAAAGTATTATTCCTGACAAATCTGCGGCAGAAAAAATCATATATAAAACTGCAGCAGGAACAGAGTTGTTATATCCTTGACACACTATGGATCGTGACATTTTTCTTGCCATATACTCACTTCTACTCTAAAATTCAGTAATAATGTCTTCTGTCATGTATATGGAAGCCTCCTTGCCCTCATGAACATGACAAAATATTGGTTTATATTGGAAATAAGCTGTATTTTTGCAGTGCGTCATCTTGTAAAGTTAGAAAGTCGTTTGGGAAATTAGTGAATAATTCAGTTACTGAAATTCTGATGTTTTTCTAGTCCAGTACTCTGTATTATTTCAACAAGAATAAAAATGTGAATTCATGATTTTTTTTTAATGATTGACAAAGGTCCTGTCTACTTTATCATTTGGGGCATTGCTAAATATGGTATTTTGCTGTAATCTGGAGCAAAAGTGACATAAGAAACGTTTTAAAATGTGTTTATAAACCTCGCAAGTCTGACTGCTTTTGGGTATTGAAAATATGTGCAGAGATGGTTGCGCATAGAGAAGTACAAATCAAAAGAGGTGTTCACACTCACATTTGTTTCGTTGTCTCAGTTTTGTGGCTTCTTTTTGTGTTGCCTGTAAGAACATCAGTGACATCTTAATTAAAAAACTATGTAAACAAGTGGTGTTTCTTTTTTGACTCCCATAACCCATACATCCCTTATTTTTTATCTGCTAGAGAAGAAAATTTCTAGTACAGTAAACTCCCTTTTACCTGGCATGTACTGGGAATGGAATGTGCCAGTTATGTGAATCAGCTAGTTGCATGAGAAAAGCTCATACAGAAACCCAATATAAAGTCAAAACAAGTTTTTGCTTTAGTTCTTGTATGGGAGCCTTGTTAGGCCACAGAGAGATTAATAGGTGAAATACTTTGGCTGTGTATGCTACAATGCAATCAGATTTACCTGCTGTAAAGGCATCTGCCTGACAGGACTGCTAGTGGCATCTGGGAATACAATTAACTATAACAGGGTTTTTTTTTTTTTTTTTTTTGCAGGTTGGATAAGAATTTCAGATTGATGGATACCAAATAACTGGGAGATTACTGTAATAGGTACTAACTGATAAATGGCTTGTAAGCTTCAATGCTCCTGGGTTAGGTCCAAAATACAATTACATTTTAAAATATATGAGCCTGTAGTTGTGGATCTATGCATCCACGCCACCATCTGCCTTCATGGCATAGTGCTTAATTCATTGAGCACAGTCATAACTTTAACCATAGAAGTATTAAAATTGGTCTCTTACATGCAACTGCAAATGCACTTTCGTCCCATTATGAATTACACCAAAAAGCAATCCAAATAGTCACTTTGCAAATATAATACACCTTGTAAGATTTGAGGTTTTCACGGTGCTGACTATGAAGAAAGCAGTATTCTGGGATGTGGCACCGAGTAGCTGTGGTATTAACCGGTGTATCGCCTCCATCTTCAGGGTAGAAGGAAAAATAATATCTGCAAGTGAACAGACAGTTGCTGCTGGCACCGGTTCTCACTGTCTCTTCGCTTGTGGATTTTCTTACGTCCACTAAGCGATAGAAATTTGGATGGTACTGTATATCGGATTTAATATTTTATACTATTTTCCTTTGCCTTTCCAGGCAAGCCAGGACAGTTTCTTAACATCACAAGGATCAGTATCACTACCCTTTCCTCATTGTATCAGCATCCTACATAATTAAGTATATATATAATATATGTGAATAGCTCATAAAGGTTAGAATTGAGCCCAAATCTTGCTTGTTTTGACCTAAAGTTATCTTTATGAAAGAATTCTAACTCTTCTTTGTTTATGAGTTTGCATAATTCAAACTTTCTCAACTGGAATATTTTAGAATTGTAACATTCTGCAGAGCAAAAAATATGATCATTGTGGTGCAATATTACATTGGCATTTTCAAATGAAGGCAGTGGAATGGAAGAAATTGGTGTTTTATACCGGCCATGAATATTAATTTTCCAAAAAGTTTTATTCACCAAGCTACACAAAGAAGCTTTGGAAATTTGTGACTGGGACTAGCGCCTGTGCTTGCATTTAAACTTCGCGGTAGGCGCGACTAGCAAAGATGAGCCAGATTTTATTACTCTCGCACGACACTGGTGCATTTGTGTTTGTAAATATTGTTCCGGTGAAGTAACTAAGAAGTTAGGACCCGTGGTTAAGAGTATCAGATGCGATCAGTTGTAATCGAAATATTGCATATAGCGATTTAGCTTTGGCATAATTGTTTCTTGGTAGACGTATTATGAGTTTGCATTGCTAACAGCAGGTATTATTTTCGAACGAAGGCATAGTAGAATAGTCTAAAATGACGGGAATAAATGATGAAAAACTGAAACAACATATGGAGGATGAGATGACTAGGTAAGAATACATCAGTGAGTTGGGCACTTATAACCTCATAAATTTAATTTGCTTGAAATAAATCGTAATTAATTAATTGAAGTTCACCCATTTTCCGGCGAATCGGCAAGTAAACCGAGAAGCTCCGTCTGCTGTTATATAGCACTATTCGTAATTATAATGTATGTGTGAGTATATGTCGACCGTCGTTATTTTGAATCTAACCTCAATATTTCATATCTTATTTTAGATGCATTGATCTGTGAACATTGATGCTTCATGTCTGAAAGGAAAATAAAAATCTGGCTGTGTTTATTAATTTAGGTGTAGTGAGTATATAATTCCAAAATCCCCGTCATAAGTATTAGAATAAAATTTATTTACATTCCATAGACCTTAACTGAGGTTGTAGAACGTGACATAATACAAATAAAATAGTTGTTTCCAATACAAATATAAACAGAAAAACAAAACAGTAACAGCTGTTTACATATTTATGATACAGATTTACATCAAAATAATTATAGGAAACAATCACCCCATTATTACTTACCTGAATTTGTAACTAAGGATTTCTGGTTAGGAAAAATTCTTGTACAGAGCAGAAGGGGTGAGATACAAGAGAATTTTAATGCTGCCCTAAACAGTTTTATATCGTTCCAACTTGATTGTAAGGTAAGGTAAAGCTATCCCTGTAATAGGTAGTGAAGGCCCGTAGGGTTGTGAGACATCGAGGCTCCCACATTTTCTCTCGACAGTCGGCTTACAGATGGTGGTAAGGTTTTCAACCTTACATGTTGGCCACCCCTTTACCCCACGGAAGATTCCTTGTACCGATTTCTGTTAGAGGCTGAGTTGTCCCCAGGGCTATAGTGAGGCTGGAAGGATTAGGTCAATTGAAAAAATCCACCTCATCAGGAATCGAACCTGTGACCTTCTGGCTTGTAGCATAGTGCCTGAACCAACTACAAGTATGCTACCATGTGCCCCCAACTTTATTGTAAGGGGGAAGATTATTGAAAGACTTAATTCCAGTACACTAAACTCCTTTCTGATATTTGCTGAGGTTACTGGTTGGCACATGGAGGTTATATCTGTGTCTTGTACTTCTATTGTTTATATCTTAATTTGTCTGAAAAATTTTCTTGTTGTTCAAAAGAAATAATAATGAGAGTAAGAATTTGCTAATAATAATAATAATAAAAGGTAAGGTGAATTTGTCCCAGTGCTTAATTAAAGCGCTATGCCATGAAGGCGTATGTGGGATTGGATGTATAGATCCACATTTTCTTGACCTCAGCACTAGTTGGAGGTGAGTGGTCAGCTTCACGCCCCGACCGCTTTACCCCCGGGAAAGAGCCCCTGGTACCCATTGTATAGGAGGTTGGGTGGACCCCAGAGCTGGTCTGAACGACATGGAGAAGTAAAAATTCTTTACCCTACCGGGACTTGAACTCTGATCTCTCTGTCGTCCAGCCCGTAGCTAGTTGCTGTACTGACTGAGCTATCCTGACTCCAGCATAATAATATTCAAGTTATATAATAATTCCCTACAGGAGATTCCTTTTAACACCTGCCATTATTCTGGTGATTTTCTTTTGCCTGCGGTGCACATTTTTGTTGTCTGTTGAATTTCCCCATAAGTTTATTCTTTGTGACATGATGGGCTGGAAGTAAGCAAAGCAAACTAATTTTATAATTTGTATTTTCATGAGTGATGTGACTGTCCTTATAACTAAGCATGCTGTTTGTAATTTAAGGATAATGTATTCGGTAGTTCCCACCCTCCAGTTTAAGTTACTGTCAGTTTGAAGGCCAAGATTCTACAGTTCTGGAGGTCCAGGTTTGATTCCCCTCGCTACCAGGTTTTCTGAGAAGTAGTGGGTCTGGAACAGGGTCAGCTCAGCCCCATGAGCATAATTGAAGAGCTATTTCAAGGAAATAGCGACTTTGGTCTAGAAAACTGAGATTAACGGCCATGGGGATTCGTTGCGCTGACCACACGACACCCTCTATCCGCTAAAGTTGACACTAACTTCATCGACAAGTGGTGGTTGATCAATCGGTATAGTTCACTTGTGGACTACAAGCCACGGAGTTTGTTTTTGGTTTTGTTTGATGGCTGCAAAACTCCACTGTATTACCTACTGGGTAATACTGGTGGTTTCTCAGTGCAGATTAATGTGACAATCTCTGTGGATATTTACTGAATCCGTGATGATACTATGTTCAGTGTGTCTATGACACCTCACCCTTTTAACCAGCCAGCATATGTCATTTCAAACCCTTTTTTGCAGCTTGTATTATAAGTTACATTCCTTTATTCTGTGGATGTTTGTTCTCTATCTTCTGTATTTTATTGTTCACAATCTGATAATAGGGGTATAATGGACATTTTGTTGATACATTTTCACTTTGGTTCGTGCTGTTGAAGTATGTATATTCATTGGGACCTTATAGTGTTATGCTGTGTGTGACTTATAACGTGAGACCTGCATTACAGTGAAGCCTTTTGTATGGCGAACATTTAGCACAATAACATTAGCATGCTCACGTGAACTTACAAAGTCATCATCACACAAATAACCATGTTGGTCTCATTTCTCCCATCAACATTTGTACCTCCCCATATTAAACAAGTGTCTCTCCCTTAGTTAAAGTTTTTAAATCCAAGCAAGTCATTTTCACCAATTTTTCTATAGTGGATCCAGGTTTTATAATACCCTGTATTTGAAATTCATGGTTTAATCTATACTTCTTCCTTGGACAGTCCTCTTGTATGGCTGTCTCCCATTACTATAATTTTTTTGTTTTTTCTTACCTATTTTCTCATTTGTGTAACTCACATTATTTTTCCTCAACTTCGTCATCTTGTTTACCACAGCATCCTTATGAATTTGATTTGATAGTTTATCCTGGGTTTTTGTTGTTATCATCATTGTTTTGGAGGAATGTACTGCCTCCATCTTCAGGTTTAAAGATATGCTGAACAAGAAAGAAATTGCGAGATGAATGAGGTGAACTTCGCCAAACTGCACAGCAGTATTTCCCAGAAGATGGTACCCTTTATAGCCACCACTGTAAAAACCTGAAATTCAACATAGTACATGAGCATATCTATTGTGTTCACCTGGCAGTCTGCTTATAGTAACTCCGCTTCGGATGCATTGTTATGAAATATGATATTTAGATCTTTGCTAATATTGATATAGTCTTTAAGGTTGAGAATATTTTATGTTTTGTCATTTTTTATTGATTATGTTTGCTGGGAGTCATGATAGCTCAGTTATATAGCAACAGGGCAGTGGACTGATGACTAGGGTTCAATTCTTGACAGGGACAAGAAATTTTTCTCTTGTCCTTAGTATCCCTACCAGCTGTGGGGCTCACTCAGCCTTTTATCCATTGTGTACCAGGGACTGTTTCCCTTGGGGTGCAGCTGAAACTGACCACTCACCATTCTCTAGTGCTGAGGTCAAGAATGATGAAGCTATTATTCCGCTCATTCATATGCCTTCATCGCATAGCGCTTGATTATGTGATGAAATACAGAGATAACTTTACCTAACATTGACTACTAAAGAGGACATTATTAAGTGTATGTGTTTGAGTAATGTGACACGTACTTCTCCAACTTTGACTCATATTTTTCTGTCTCTTCTTCAGTTCCTAAATCTATGCTAAAGTGTTGCATTCTACTTCTATACAATATCATCTTAGAGGTTTGATTAATAATGAACTGTATGCATATTGTTGGATTAACTTTTAATGTAATTTGTAGGTTTGAAGCAGAAATTGCTTTGCCTGTTCTTCCTCCTCCACCTCCGCCTCCAGCGATTGCACCGCGGCCTGTCATTGGATCCAACACCTATACTCAAGTTCAGCGACGACTAGAGGAACAGCAGACGTTACCTTCTGCAATTCCGGGGCCTGAGTTTCCAGCCTGCCCTCCCATGGGATTTCCATCATTGATGCCTCCATCTGTACCAGCTTTTCCAGGAATTCCGCCACCACCGCCGCCACCACCACCACCTCCACCACCTCCACCATTGCTTATACCACATCAGGTTCAACGTGGACCACCAGTCAGGCACCGTGAGTGTTATTTAAAACCTTGAAGTTCATATTCAAAACTTTTCTGTAAAATGTGTTCGGCTGATACAAAACTGGCGTTATTATGTCCAGTGGCTTGAATACTGTTTTGATTCTTATTTGCCCTTGTGCAACTCGATCAAAATCCTCTAGGTTTCAGTGTTTCTGCTTTATTTCACAACATGTTTTGGCATAACTGGCCATCATTGGGTGTACAGGGTGTGTTTATGGAGTCTGCTTTCCTTTTGAAGTGTTAGACACTTTGAGATGTTTTGTAACAGAACCTGAACAAAACATCTAGAAGCATCTAATACAGCAGAAGGAAGGCAGAGCAGATTTCTTAAACACACCTTGTACCCCTGATGTTGGCCAGTTAGGCTGAAACTTGTGAAATAAAACAAAAAACAGGAACATTGGAACCTAGCAGATTTTGATTGAGTTGCACATGAATGGATAAGAGTCAGAACAGTATTCAAGTTTCTACACAAAGCAACATGATGTCCAGTGAATTTAAGGCAATTCACTGTGTTTATTATGTATTTCTTCACTATGTCTTTGTGAATTGTTACTGACTTTTGAAAACTTTAGTTTTTTTCTTTGGAGCATATCAGATCAGACATTTGAAAACATACTTTGTAAAAAGTATTTTGCTAAATATTCTTACATGACAAAATTTGTAATATTCAAAAGATAAATATTTTATGTCATGTACATTTTTTAAATTACAGTCAGCTGATTTTCAGATACTGACTATTGAGTTGAAATATGTGCAACAGAATTTTCAAGAATGGAAAGATTAAAGATTCTCATGTTTCTATTTTTAAACATTCTGTATAGTTATGCACAAACTGAATATTTTGTACGTGTTGTCTTAAAAGTCTTGAACTTTTGTTAGCTTCTATGAAAATTGATCTGCAAAGTACATATAATGTTTATCCATAAGAAATGAATTTGGATTTCATAAACCAGTTAGAATTAGAGAAACTGGGATAGCTCAATCAATATAGCAATGGGTTGCAGGCTCAGCGGCTCAGGAATTGGTGTTCAGTGCCTGGGCAGGATCAAGAGATTTTTCTCTTCTTGAAAGCTTCCAGACTGGCTTTTAGGTCCCCCCGGTTTCCTGTCCAGTGGATACTGGAGCTTCTTCCCTGAGAGTGAAGTGGTAAGGTTGTGAAGCTCACCACTCACTTTCATGAAGCGCTTAGGTGTACATCCACTACCTCATACATTTTCATGACATGGTGCTTAATTAAGCACACTTTTTTTATGTATACCCATATTATCGACGCTGCAAAACTTTACAAGAAAATGAGTGAAATGTTGTACTGCGCAATACGTACTGTGTGACAGATGGACATAGGACTTTGCACATTTACTGGAGTTTCTGCTCCTTCCTCTGTCTTTGGGAAGAGCCTCTCCTTTCGCTAAGCCACTTGCCATCTTTAGTCCCTTGTTCACCATCACTTCATAATTATAATGTTCTGAAACTGAACAGACCCAAGATGAGAGCACTTGGGGAAATTGTGTGACATTGGAGGTCTGTCTTGTCAGAATAGACATTTAAAAGACTGTCTCTGCCTCCATCATCAGGAATTGATGCCATTTCCATGAAAACTTCAAATTATATGTAATATATAATGGTGATGTGCAGTAACATGTTTAATAATTTTATTGTATATAGTGAAGCAAAATATGAAAATTAGTGTCTTGTGGGGTGTGACACCATGTTTACAAAATTTGTCTTTCCTGTCATATTAAAACAAAAAGAAGTTCAGGAAAGAACCAAGTCAGAGTCACATTGCGACTGATGGTCAGTCCTGCTGTTGAGCCCCAACTTTTTTTTTTGGTGGGGTGCGCTCTCTGATGAGAGGATGGGTCTGTCCTTTGTAAATGTTGCTGGCCCTTGCCACTGCTGTCTTTCTTGGGTCTGAGATCCTCGGGACTCAACCATATTTTACTGTCTCAGATTTGAGACTTTTCTTCTATTGTTTTGTGTGTGTGTAATTGTTGCCATGGGAACATGTTTACTGATCCATTACCTAGCAGCGAAGGAGGGGATAAACATGCAGGTACACAGGACTCCACTATTCTGGCTTTCAGTAATTAGTGAGGATACAAAGATACACAGAAAGCAAGGTGATCTCAAAGAAAGGTAAAGTTGTCTTCATGCTTAACCAATTAAGCACTGTGCTATGAAGATGTGTGGGGGAATTGACATATAGATGGCCTTATTCTTGACTTCGGTGCCGGTTGGAGGTGCGTGGTTAGCTTAACGCCCTGTCCGCTTTACCCTTGGGGATTACAATGTTTTAACATTGCCTTCTCTGTATATATTGGAGGTGACATGCTTTATCAAAAAATAGAAGGCTTTTATGGCAATAAATTCAGACATTCATAATTATAACACACGAAGATAATTAAATTTTCATGTACAGCACTGTAATACAGCTCTTTTTAAGAGGAGTGTGATAAATATGGGAATTAGTTTGTATAATAAGGTCCCCAATCAAATAAAACAAAAGGAAAATTTTAACTCATTTAAAGAGGAATTAAAATCTTTTTTGCTGAAACATTCCTTTTATTCTGTAGATGAATTTATGTATTTTGATTCATCAAGTGTGTAAATGTAATATGTAGCTGCTTAATTTGTTGTATTTGTGTAAAGACAATGAAATTAATGGTAACTAGATCTAGATAATATTATTCAGATGACAAACCCCCTATATTAGGGTGGTACAGTGTATACTGTAAAGATATGCACGAGAATTACATGTAAAACTGACAATTTCCCTATCCAAATGGGTGTAATACCTGTATGTATGGATCGTTGAATGATAATAAAAATGAAATGAAAGAGCCCCCAATACCCATTGGATAGGAACCTGGGTGGGCCTCAGAACCCGTCTGGATGATGTAGAGAAACACAAATTTTGTCTCTACCAGGGCTTGAAATCCGATCCCTCAACAATGCGCCCTATAGGCAGTCTCTATACTGACTACACTGTACCAGCTTGGTGATCTCTTGGCCTCCTTTTATTATTTCAAAACAAGGAAATTAGTTTAAGTGTACTGAGCAGTAGCTCTGTAGTTTCTGATATAGCAACTTGAAAAGCTTAAAATTTATGTCTGTTGCTAATTCTGTGTTTGTCTGTATTTCAGCAATGCGTGGGGTCGGCATGGGTCCTCCTGGACCAATGATGGGAGGCCCTTCTCCCCCAGGGTTCATGGGCCCCCCTAACATGGCTCATCCTCCAGCTCCTCCTTTCATGGGTCCTCCAGTCCCTGGCCCTGGGCCGCAGGTGATGCCTATGGAACAACGTCTGCCAACTCCAATGCCTCCAGCTCAACCTCATGTACCTGCAATTGTAAGGTGAGGCTGTTTTCATGTTGGTAACAACAATTTTCAAATGGGTTGCCATGTTTCCTCTGCTTATTCACCATTTTGCTCTGTTCCCAGAGTTCTTCTGTTATATACCATATCATCCTAAGGAGGTCACTGAGCCAAATTCAAGGACATTTCCCGCCCAACAGTAGTCTCTAACGCCTCTGATAGAGGGGGGAAACATTATAGATACCGCCAAGCCAGTAGAGGCCGAACTCGCTGGCTTGGTCGGGACTGATGGTAAGCACCAGTATCGGTAGGGTATAGAGACTGGTAGAATATCATAGAGGGAAGCACAATAGATCAAACTGGTCGCGGTGCATGGGGAAACCCACCCTCTCTAACTAACTAACTACCATATCATACTTTGTTTTACATGCTAATGGACAACTATTTGAGGTGATGTTAAGTAGGAAAACTGGGTATGTGACAGAGAGTCTTCCTTTTGATTCTGGCCATACTGTTATGTATTTACTTTGTATTAAAACTTAAATGTGTAATCATTACCAAGTAAATATATTTACCTGGCATCATGTTTGCATTCATGAGTTGAGAAAGGAAGGAAAATGATTAATATTGGTATCTGACTGATAACTAAAGTGAGTAAGTAAAGGCATCCCTGTAACAGGCTGTGGAGGCCCATAGGGTTGTGAGATGTTGAGGTTCCCACATTGTCTAGATAATCGGCTCATAGATGGCGGCATGGTTGTCAGCCTTACACGCCGGCCGGACCTTTATCCCCAAGAACAATCTGAGAATATTCCTGGTACTCATTTCTGTTAGACCCCAGGGCCATAGTGTGGATGGAAGAATTAGGTAAATTTAAAAAATTTTCAATTACCTTATCCGGATTTGATCCCGTGACCTTCTGGCTTGTAGCATAGTGCCTCAACCTATGATGCTACCATGTACGCACGGTATCTGACTGGATTATTTCTTTCCCCCACTGTCTGATGTATGTTTGCTCACATGATTAAGTATGAATGCCAATGTTTAGGTTGATGTCTTCTGGCTTATGACCTGTGGAGTCTCACAGGTTGGTAACCAATATTTTTTAGTAATATACTGCCAACATTATTTTGTTTGTATTCCACCAACACTGTGAGTTAACTGCTGATCACTTATTCTGCATTCCTCAGATATTTCACCCCCTTCCCCAGGAGTAACACAGCTGGGCAGTACACCATCTATTTACAGACTTTAAGAAAGCCTAAGATTCAGTTAGGAGAGAAGTATATTACAGTATTCTCGTTTAATTTGTTATATCCACAAAATTAGGGCAACCAATTAAAATTATTTAAAAACTTGTTACATATTTGTTTGTGTCATATGCTATTCATGAAACAAGGAGACTCTTTATTCCATGTCCTTTTAACTTCACATTTGAATGTCCCAGAAGGAAGATCTATGAAGATCTGGTGGGATTGAAATTGGAAAGAATATGCTAACTTGTGGTGCGTGCTGTTTTAATTTATTGGGTATACACATTAACACCACAGAGAGTTACAAAGGCTGTATTTGATTCTGGTAAGGAGTTGGTCTCTTGTTAAATATGGAGGAATGTGAGTGTGTATTCATGTCGCATCATCAGAATAGAAGAAAGCGTAGGGGTGGTGATTACTTGGGAGATCAAGTGGTAGATGGCAGGATGATATTAAAATGTACCTCAAATGGATGGAGAGTGAGGTGTAGAATAACCATCTGCTGCGGACAGAAATAAGTGGAATGTCATCATCACAGTAACCTATCATTGGTTGTTGCCAAACATTATGAGATAAAAGTTTTCATATGTAAACCCATTAGCCAACATCCTTGATTCTATTGTAGTATGAAAACAGCCGATGAATGATACGTAATTCGTGAATCATATCAATATAATTGCACTCATGTTTGTTTGCGATTTTACATGTACTTACTTTCTGGTTTTTCGTAGTGCTACACCAAAGCTGTATCTTGCAAAGCCATCTGGAGCCAAGTCAGAAACAGACTTAGGAGATGATCAGCGGAAAGGGAACAGGAAGAGTAAGAGTGGTAATGAAAAGAGTGCAGTGCCTGCTCTAGAAATGTCACGTGCTCGGGGTATGGCTGAGAAGGTGAAAGTGAGCACAGTAACGGTGTCTGTTGGTCCTGGATCACTGCAGTCAGGAGCAGCAGAAGAAACCACTCCTGCAGCAGGACGTAAGAAGGAGAAGAAGAACAAGAAGATTGTTCGTATGGCTGGTGGGCAGATCTGGGAAGATAATTCACTTCTAGAGTGGGAGGATGGTAAATATTATTACCACGAAGCTCAGTTCTATCTTGAGAACCTACCGGTCACTCACCTACTGAAGAATTTCCCAACATTTTATGGAACCCAAATTTCATTGCCATGTTCACAAGAGCCCTCCACTGGTCCTTATCCTGAGGCAGATTAATCTAATCCATACCATCTCATCCTGTTTCTCTAAAATCCATTTTAATGTTATCCTCCCACGTACACCTAGGTTTTCCTAGTGGTCTCTTTCTTTCTGGCTTTCACACCAAAACCTTGTGCAGGGTACATGTACCACCCATTTAATCCTTCTTGACTTTATCTTTCTAATTTTATGCGATGAAGAGTACGAGGTGCTATCAGAGAGTTCCCTCCTGTACTAGGTCAAAAAAGAAATGCTGGCTTAACTTACTCAATTTTGGCTGCCATCTCCTTCAAAACAGTCTCCTTGGTGGGAATGTATACAGTAATCCCATCGTCTTTTTCCATGCTACATCAGAAGCACCATGGAAGCCATTTTGTTTCATGCTGTTGAGAACTTTTTGTGATTCCCTTTGGATGTCAGACGCTGTTTCAGAATGTCATCCCTTCAGTTTCATCTTCAATTTGGGAAACAAAGCGAAATCACAGGGGCTAAGTCCGGCAAGTAGGGAGCATGGGGAATGATAACCATGTTGTTAGTCACAAACTCTGTGGTTTTCGGGGACATTTGGGCAAGTGCATTGTCGTGATGAAGGAGCCAGTTGTGGCTGTGTCGAAGTTCCGTTCTTTTTCGTAGAACATTTTTTCTCAAGCGTCTCAAAATATCATAGTAAAAGTCAGAGTTGACCGTAGTGTTAGGAGGAACAAATTCACTGTGAACCTCCTTCCTTAACAGTAATAGTACAATTTCAAAACTTAAATTTAATTGGAGTAATATAATTTCTAATCTGTGCAAGCACCAGTTACTTAATTGTGTCTGTTTAAACTCTATTTAGTTGATAGTTTGTAAAGTTTTACAAAGAAGTATTCTCACACATTACCTCTGATGCAGCACTTGGCTGGTTACAGAGTAAGGTTGGTTTTATTCTATATAACTACAATGAACTGTATGGTTCTTTTGTTTCAGATGATTTCCGAATTTTTTGTGGTGATTTGGGTAATGATGTGACAGATGAAATTCTAACAAGAGCTTTTAGCAAATATCAATCTTTCCTGAAGGCAAAAGTGGTACGAGACAAACGATCCAATAAAACCAAAGGGTTTGGTTTCGTGAGCTTTAAGGATCCACAAGACTTTATCAAAGCTATGAAGGAGATGAATGGTGAGTACATTTTTTGTTAGTATTCACTATCTATATCAACTTCAGGAAATTTATCAGAAAAGTTTTAATACTGACACTGTCAATAGAAGTCAGTCAGTGAAACTCTCCATATAATTTGAATCTGATTGCAAGTGATGACATCACTCGTGAATTCAAGTTGCTTGACGTGCTGTTTAAATTGCAAGGCTTCACCAAATGTCCATTTTTCTCTCTTTCCTTACTAATATTACAAGCACTTCTCTTATCCTGTGTTGAGGTACCTCACATGTGAGATATGACCTAGAAAAATTTAATTTAAGTAAATGTTCTTGAACTTTATGGGTGCAGTTCTTATCTGTTGCTTTTCTTCTTAGATGTTGTCATTGCAGAACAGATATTTGTGTCCATGTTTTGGAAAAAATATGGTTTTGATATCATAGCGGCTTCTCAGTAGTTAGGAGTTGGACAGACAGTCAGTCAACTTCAGCCCCCATCCAATATATACAGTTAGTCCTATATTAGTAGTTCAAAATGCTGCTATGCAGGCTGATAACTGGAAGCAATTTAGAACACTTTTTGTGTCGTGCTTATTCACCCACTCATGGAACTGAGCCCTTCTTGAGAAGTTGGTAGTCGCTCAGCCACTCATGAATTTCCCGACATTTTATGGAACCCGGAGGTTTATTACTTTGTTCATAAGAGCCCTCCACTAATCCCTATCCTGAGCCAGAGAAATCTAGTCCATACCATCTCACCCCATCTCTCTAAGTAAAATAAGTAAAGGTATCCCTCTAACAAACAGGCCACGGAGGCCCATAGGGCTGTGAGATGTTGAGGTTCCCAAATTTTCTAGACAGTCGGCTCATAGATGGCAGCAAGGTTGTCAGCCCTACGTGCCCGCCACCCTTTACCCCCAAGAATATTCAAAGAATATTCCTGGTACTCATTTCTGTTAGAGGCTGAGTCGACTCCAGGGCCATAGTGTGGCTGGAAGGATTAGGTCAATTTAAAAATTCCAGTGACCTAATTGGGACTTGAACTCGCGACCTTCCAGCTTGTAGCATAGTGCCTCAACCAACTATGCTACCAAACCAATTTAATATTATCCTCTCACCTATGTCTAGGTTTTCTTAGTGGTCTCTTTCCTTCTGATTTCCCCACCAAAATTGTATATGCATTAATCTTTGCCCCATTCATGCTACATGCCCTGCTCATCTCGTTCCCCTTGACTTAATCATTCTGATTATACTTGTTGAAGAACACAAGTTATGATGAAGCTTCTCATTATGCAGTTTTCTCCAACCTCCCGTCACTTCATCCCACCGTGCTTATTATTGTAACATTATTCTAGAATACCAAGCAAAATAAAAGAGGAGATATGTTTATTAAGAAAAACCATTCTAAGTAATGTTAAATATGTGCAGTAGGTGATTGATTATATAACTTTTATGGTTCCTACATAATGCATCACATGCAGTTTTTTATTTGTTACGTGTCTAAATACTTGTTTTTTTTATCAACTGATTAATTTTATAGTTTATTTTACAAAACTATAGCAATAACAGTGGTATATAAGCACTGGCCAATTTGTATTTTATTGAGTTTTCAGATTGATACTTCTTAGTTGTGCATGTCAATAGAGTACCAAATTTCATGAAAATCTGTCATTTTGTACAAAAGTTCTAAAGGGGAAGAGACACAGATGAACTGTGGACATGATATTTTAAGCCTGCCTCTCTTTATGGAATAAGAAAAGTAGGTTAAAACCTGAATGCAGGCAGTCATCAGGATTTTAGAAAATCACGATCCTCAAATTTTTGTGTACCAGTATCTACAGTCAAAGTATTAAGTAACTAAGTAAGATTTGAGGCTTTCACAGCAGTGAATATGAAGAATGCCGTCTTCTGGGATGTGGCGCCATGTAGATGTAGTGTAAATCGACATTTTGGAGGATGTATCACCTCCATTTTGAGGGTAAAAACATCCATGAGCGAGGAACCGGCATATGCAGGTGGCTGCAGTCTGCCTGAAGATGGAGGCGGTACGTTCCTCCAAAACGGGTTTAGACTAGATCTACACAGTGCCACATCCCAGAAGATGGCATTCTTCTTCTTAAGTAACTACACTTTAATTTGAATTCAGAGTAAAACAGTGTAAGTACAGTCATGAAATTATGTGATCTTTCATGAAGAAAATCAAGACATGCGCTGGGTTGCAGGGCTAGTTTTAATCTGTTATTGTTTACACTTTGAAGCACAAATTCTTTCTAAATAGTACTTAAAAATTCGGCCCCAATCTTGCAAGAAAATGTTCTTCATCTCAATTATAAAGATGACTGACTATTTTTTTTATTTACATAAAATTAGCAATTACAATTACATTTGATTCTATAAGCTAATTAGCCCTAGTATTCTTTGTGACGTGGAGAGGGCTTATCCGAGATAGGTCCTTGTTAACCCTCTCTCAGGTCGGCTGGTCAATTCCTTTTTAGTCTTCGCCCATTGTGCGGTTCCAGTAACGGTTGCATTAGTACGTTCTCATGTCCTTCTGTTTTGTTGAGGTATCTTTTGCTTTCCCTTTTATGACTTCCTTCACTAGCGGCACTTTCAGGTCTTCATGGAGTGTTATATTGGAAACATACCGCGGGGCGTTAGTAATCATACGTAGTATCTTTGACTGACATCTTTGGATTATGGAAATATTGGTTTTGCTAGCACATCCCCATATTTCCACTCCATATACCCAAATTTCTTTTATTATTGTTTTGTAAAGTAAGATTTTGTTGTCTATGAGAGCTTGGAATTTCTTCCAATTAACCAATGCATACCCTTGATTTTTAGATCAATCTGTTTGCGTTTTTTAGTAATGTGTTCCTTCCAAGTTAGATGGTTGTCTAGATGAATACCTAAGTATTTTGTGCTGGGTGATTCAGGTATTTGTATGTTATTAAAGAAAACTGCAGGTCATTGTTCTCTTCTTAGACTGAAGTTTACTTGCACTGACTTGGTTTCATTGATTTTTATTTTCCATGTATTTGTCCGCTCTTGTATTTGATTTAGATGATTTTGCAAAGTGAAGGTAGCTATTGCTGGATCTGTGTTGGCTGAGAGGATCACAGTATCATCCGCAAATGTGCCCATTGTTGTGTTGGCATTGACTGGTAGGTCTGCTGTATACAGTAAATCAAGTAGTGGGCCTAAGACACTGCCTTGTGGTACACCTGATTTTATTGTAAAATTGTTAGATATGCTATCATTGATTCTTGTTCTGAACTCTCTGCCATTTATACAGGATTTTAATAATTGGGAATAAGTGATGGGCAGATATTTTTTGATTTTGTACAATAGTCCTGGATATCATACCTTATCAAAGGCTTGACTTGCATCAAGGTGGACCAATGTGCAGTATTCTTTATTTTCTATTGCTTGGTGTATTTTGTGTGTTATTCTATGTATCTGCTGTACAGTGGAGTGGTTTCCTCTAAAACCAAATTGATGTGATGGTATCCATTCTTCTGTATTTGGGTCAGACATTATTATTTTTAAGAGAAGTCTTTCGAGGAGCTTAGATATGATGGGTAATAAACTTACAGGATGATAGGATGACACACTATTAGGATTTTTGCCTGGTTTGGGGATCAGGATTATTTCTGCTGTTTTTAGCTGATTTGGCCAGTATTTGTGTTTGAGAATAGCATTAAATATATATGTGAGAAGTACTAACCCTTGTCTTGACATTTCTTTTAACGTTATTTAAGTCACTTCATCAGTGCCAGGTGGTTTTCTTGAATTTAGAAGTGCTATTTCGTTTTGCACTTCTTTAACTGTAAAAAATTTTATTTCTGGTATAATGCTGATATTTTCAGATATTTGTCTTTCTGTTTCTTTATCAGTATTATCATATGGTGTAAAAACTGTAGCAAGATATTCAGCGAACACAGCTGCTTTATCTTCATCACTTCTTGCCCACATTGTTTGCGGAGCCATTTAGTTTCTTATAGGATGTATCTGTGTCTTGGGTTTTTTAAATGTTTGATAGGTTTCCAGATGGTATTAGACTGACTAATGGAGATGAGTCACCATTTATTCTGAGAATAACTTGAAACATATAAATACACTGTATGTGCAAAACGTATTTTTTTCTTTGTGTTAAAGTAGGCAGTAAATATAGTAACAACTATTCATTAAAGAGTTGAGAATGTGATTATGTCTGCAGCTGACTGTTTGTAGAGCTGATATTTTCACTAGTAATGAACTTCCAATTTTATAGCATTATTAATTTCCTAAGTACGTTTTTATTTTTTAGTGAATATTATATTTAATTTCAAATGAACATGGAAAATATTTTATAAATCTAAACACCATGTTAAAATTAGAATAATTGTAGGTCAAATATGTCTCTGTCATTTTCCTGTTTTGTTAGAGTGCATTCACACTTCAGCCAATATACATTAACACTTATATTACTTTTTTTCTTACAAGATACCGCATTTGTTTATATTTTGAGAAAATTACATACAGTTTTATGTTTAGGAACCTTAAATATGAAATTGTTAGGATCATATTTGTTGTGAAATTAAGCATACTAGTGTGTGCCACAATAATTGTACTTTACAGTCCCTTAGTATTTGTTTTAGATCATAAGTATACCGTATATAATGCAACAGTAACCTTATATGAGTATAAGATATACTAAAAATATATTTAATTCACTAAAAGTGCTTGGTAAATACTTTACAATGTCATGAAACTTATACATGCATTCCTTGTTGTAACATGTTTCGGTCAGATATGGGCCATCATCAGACCTTAGTATATTCGTATACCAGCTGTAGAGTCTGTCAGAATGTAAGTAAGGCTGAAATAAGATAGTAATTACAGAACTTTTTAATGTGTCTTGGAATACAAATATTATGTTATAACATTCAGGTTTTCCTAATACTTTTATGTTTCAAAGGATGAAATGTTAGAATATATTCCACACATAATTATTTTGTAGTTAGTTGTGTGATCATTCTTGAACTCTTCTTCAATAGCTTTTGGGTATTTTTTTGTGTAAATATGGCATTTATTTTCTCAATCATTGTGCCACACCTCAAATTCAGGGTCAAGAAATGTGTTTTATAATGATATGTAGCTGATACAGTATGCAGCAATATGAACTGGTGCTGTTAGAGACTAATATGCTGTAGTGTCATGAAATTCAGAAAACAAGTGAGTAAGACAGTAAGTAAAGATATGACATTTACCACATCCTCCAGGTCTTCGGAGTTTTAAACGTCACTGTATTGTTTTTAATATTAAAAAACACTCTTCAGGAAATGTTATGCTGGAATTAATGCACTGTGAGCTGCCTACTTTCCATTTCGCCCCCAGCCATATGTTGCATGGAAGTGAGGGATGATGGAATAGTACCAACGAGGTGAAAGTGGTGATTTTCCTCCTCCTCCACCCCCTCCTACCCCTCCATTGCTCCCTGTTGTGACGGTACTGCTGAGAGCATTCCGTACGACCTGGCGGTCTGGACTGGTAGTTGGGAAGTCCTGGAGAGGTGCAGGTGCCACCAGTCGTTCAGCCCTTGCCACTTCAGATGTTGGTACTGGCTTTTTATGCTGCCGTGTGTACATGTACAGAACATTGAAAGGCATTCCTTGAGCTCCCCAGCCACGAGATGTAAAGACATTCTTCTTCACTTCTTGTATTGGCTCCAACTCATTTCCAGTGTTCACTTCTGACATTGCTAGTGAGTCCTGTTGTGTGTTACTGTTCACTGAAAGTGCCTGCCAAATCAGATTTGTGGTGGTAGGTTTGACGAGGGAGAGAACAACAACTCTGGGGAGGTGCAACCTGAATCGGTTTCGAACGTTGTAACGCGTCTTTAAGTATGCGTCTGAAATTCTGTTCCCGTCTTCTTGAGATGAGCCTGTGTAATACTTGTTTGTGATACTGCTTTCCGTCCTCTGATTGTATGGAAGTCTCAGATTTGTGTACTGGAAACCTGGGGCATAAGTTTCTTCATAATCTTGATTGGCCCATGGTATTTGATTATTTAATTTGAAATATTCCATTTGCTGAAGCCCTTGTTTGTTACAGAAGATTGTGTGATCTGCACTTATTTCACTTACTGAATGTGCAAAGTCTCTCTTGCTGCTGTAGTTAAACTTATTAGTCGACTCCTTTGAAGAGCCGGACCCTTGGTTACTTTGTTTGACAAGATTTCTGATGCGGATGGGTATTTTTGACAATATGACGTTTGTCAGACTCTCTGCTTCATTTTGATCACTTTCTGTCACGGTGTGTTCTATCTGTGCTGTAAGTGCCTTAGGAACTTTCTCTAAACAGTTGCAGTTGACTCTTTGTTCGCCAATTTCTTCAAATGTACCAGCAGATGTACTGATTATATGTTGATTCATAAGTTTTGGGCTAATCACTTTAGAATGCCGTGTGACAGGCGAAGATGAATCTGAGACTGGATTTGCTGAAATTGGCAGAAGGCAGCAGAGAGAAAAGATGCAGTACAGTCCAGATATAAGTTGAGAATTCCTCTTCATCATCCATCGTTGCTGAACGAATGTCTTCATGTCAGGGACTGTTCTTATATTTGTGATTTGTTGCTTTCCTTCTGGCATTGGGTTGAAGTGTCTGTAACAAATTCAGATTGTTCTTGTTATTATGTCATTGAATGAAAGCTATTTCACATAATTACTCATAAGAATTGCGGAGCCAGAGAAACAGCCATGGCAAATGAATGGCTCGAAAACAACATTCGTTTCTAGGCAATGGACACGAAACAGACAACGGAAGGACATCCACTGTTAGGCGGCAGATTCTTAATAAGCAGTAATATACAGGCGGTGCTAGGGAACGGCTCGGGAAACACTTTTCCGCAGAAACAGTTACCGTACGAGAATGAACGACGTTGTGTGCACGGGCCATGCCAGGGAGTTATAAGGAATACAGCTGGGGCAGTCAAGTCAGTTCTGTACGGGAGTCTGAAGGAAAGTTGAATGGCAGCCTGTGAAGAGATGACTAGAGGTTGGTGTGAAATGGCCGCCAGCCTGGGACCCAGTTAGTCGTAACCGAGGCAGTTGGAAGGGAGCCGCTGTGAGGAATTGAGACATCTTTCCCCTTTAATTCCTTGACTAATGATCCATGACTTGTTAGTGTTTGCTCTACCAGTTGTTGTATGTTATTTACCGGGCAGTAACGACGTTACTCCGGTAATTGAATAACCTTCATTGAAGGTTCGTTGCAAGGGAACGTCTTGTGTATAAAACACTGCATATGAATATTCTTTGTTATAGTTACGTTGAATTGTAGTTACGTCGTTGAGTAATAAAGTGACATCGCAAGAATACGCGACGAGGTCTTATTTCACGACAACCGCCGTTCAGAGAGGACTTGAGCCCGGAAGCAGAGGTGTGGCTGTTATTAGAAGCCGTTACCAGGCAACTACCAGTGAAGACACTGCTAGATGGGAAAAAAAAAGCGCGATTTTGTAAAGTATGGAAGTAGCGATAGTGTTATAGTTATTTTTTGTCCGGTATCTGCCAAATGCAAACGATCTGATCGGTAGTTGATCTGTTCCGTCGAAACCTACACCGATGATCGCAATAATTTCTTCTATATATGGGCTTAACCTTGAGACGAAGATATTGTATAAAATTTGATATGAAGTTGATAGTCATATCGAACGATATGTCAGTTTTATCCCCCTTCTTGTGAACTGGTGCAGTAATTGACTCATGGTAAAGACTAGTTCGACAGAATTACATTATACAGCACAGATTTCCTTTAGAACTTGAATCACAACTATCAGTTTTTAGAAGCGAATTTTGTGTCATCTGTGAGGGAAGATCATGATGCTTTCTTCTTCTTCTTCTTCTCCTCCTCGTCCTCCTCCTTCTCCTTTTCCTCCTCCTCCTTTTCCTCCTCCTTCTCCTCCTCCTCCTTCCTTTTCTTCGTCTTCTTCTCCTCCTCCCTTTTCTTCTTATTCTTCTTCTTCCTCTTCTTCTCCTTCCTCTTCTTCCTCTTTTTCCTCTTCTTCTCCTTCCTCCTCTTCTTCTCCTTCCTCTTCTTCTTCCTCCTCCTCTTCTTCTTCTTCTTCTTCTTCCTCTTCTCCTCTTCTTCTTCTTCTTCTTCTTCTATGGCGCAACAGCCCGATGTCGGGCCTTGGCCTTCCTTATCAAGCCCCTCCATTCCTCTCTATCCTGCGCTGCTCTCTTCCAGTTCCTTACGCCCATTAACTTCTTTTCATCTTCTTCCACCGCATCAACAAACGTAAAACACATTCAGCACAGGCACCATGACGCAGAAACAGCATGAGAATCACGTTACAGAAAAAATTGTTTTTGGAAATTGTACAGATAATTTCTGTTCATCCTGTATAATTGAAGCCACACAGTGCGAAGGGGTCTAGATCATAGAAGCCAGCTACTGGATATAGACGGTCTTCTGTCAAAAGCAGACAGTCAAGTTCCAAAGGAAGCGAAATGGTGACTGCCTTTGCTTTGTTTGATCCATGTACAACGTGTTATCGTAATCCCAGGAAATCTTCAAAGGCACTAGAGTTTGTCTTCTTTGTTCTGCATTATGATATGAGTCATTATCCAGACTAGGCGCTTCCTATTAAGAGGATTATAGAGTGTAAATGGAGACCCGGAAGTGAGGATAGGTGTGTGACTTATTGCGTGAAGTTCCTGTTTAACGTGCGTTTGCACGAAATGCGTAAACTAAAGCATAATGCAGAGGCTTACGCATCCCTACTCTGCACGTGTCGTCTCTTAGATCGCGAGAAACGGCAGCAGTGCGAGATTGTCTAACATCATGTCGGTCCCCATCTGCTCAAAGTAGAATTCGGAGCTCATATCGAACATTTTAATATTAAAACAACGGCGCAACACATTGTACAAAACTGTATGCCTGGAGAAAAGTTCTATCTTCTGGAATACAACGTCGTGTAGTCCGGTGAAAGTCGACATTTCGGGGGAATATACCGCCTCCGTCCTCAGGGCTGAAGAGTAAGCCAAGCAAGAAACCAGGACGAGATCATTTCTTGCTTGGATTACACCTCGATGTAGCCGATATGTTCCTCCGAAATGTTGGTTTTTTCGCCGGAATACGCAGCGGTATGCACTAGAAAGCAGAACTCTTTATTCACTGCTGTGAGAATCCGAAATCCAACAAAATAAGTACAGGAATTTGTGACTTACTTGGAACGTTTCCGAATGTGTTCTGCGACTTTATAAAACGAAACACGCTTCTGAACATTCTAATATCCCTCTATATATTTAAAGCCATATAACAGTGAGATAAGAACTCTGAAACTACGCAAATTCATGTTACCATAACGACAAATTGTCCAGCGTTAACGCGTTTCCCTGAACACAAGGTATGTAGTATGTAAATATACTCGGAGTAATGGAATCGCATAGACACATGTCAATATCCAGAACTTGTAACGCTTTGGAAAATAATGTTTCATTAAAAAAACAAAAAAGAAACTCCGTGGCCTGTAGTCCGCAAGCGAACTACACCGACCGAGCGACCGCCGCTTGCCGGCGAAGTTATTGCCAACTTTAGCGGATAGAGAGTGTCGCGTGGTCAGCGCAACGGATCCCCACGGCCGTTAATTTCGGTTTTCTAGACCGGAGCCGCTTTTTCCTTGAAATAGCTCCTCAGTTATCCCCACGAGGCTGAGTGGACCCCGTTCATAACTTGTACTCTTCTCCACGTATAATTAGAATGAGAAAGTCAAGGACGATGCGATAGGGAGGGCATGTAGCACGAATGGGGGAGAAGAGGAATGCATGTAGGATATTGGTGGGAAAGCCAGATGGAAAGGGACCACTAAGAAGACCAAGACGTAGCTGTGTGGATAATATTAAAATGGATCTTACATAGGCTGGGGTGGTATGGACTGGATTGATCTGGCTCAGAATAGGTACCAGTGGAGGGCTTTTATGAACACGGTAATGAACCCTCGGGTTCTATAAAATCCTGGGAAATTCTCGAGTAGCTGCAGATTTGGCGGCTCCTCAAGAAGGGCTCAACTCTGTGAAGTCAGTTTGACTTTGTTTTCTTTGTGTATTTCCATTTTGTTACCCACATCTGTATTGTCTGCAGCTTGTGTATTATGAAGGTCAACGAAGAATTGTCGAAATTGTGAGCGTCACTTATCAGAACTAAGAATAGACCAGGCCCCGCCAGAGCTCAAGCGGTTAGTCGCTGGCTTCCCACGGCGGCGGCCTGGGTTCAGTCCCGGGTCTGGTGAAGTGGGATTTGTGGTGGACAAAGTGGCGCCGGGGCAAGTTTTCTCCGAGTACTTTGGTTTCCCCTGCCAATCTTCATTCCATAATTGCTCCACAATCACCCTCACCTATCATCTGGGGCTGGTGCAATAGGCCAGAAGTGACCGTAGTACAAGGGACTTAGTCCCACCCCACTAGCATTAAAAAAAGCATGCACTACTGTGATAATGTCTACAATTTGCATATTCAGTGTACCAGTTCACGCTTGCTTCCTTGCTTTAATGATTTCCGTCCTGGTAGTTGGGTTGCTGTAAGGAAAGCAGACCTTGCGTTGGGCACTTTCCTCATCTGATAGCAGCGACTCACCTTGCCTGTCGGGCATGTATTTTAGTTTACTTTAAATCATCTCGTGTAAAGGTAAAGAGGTAAAGCTATCCCTGTAACAGACCATGGAGGCCCCATAGGGTTGTGAGACGTCGAGGCTCCCACATTTTCTAGACACTCGGCTCACAGATGACGGTGATGTTGTGAGCCTTACATGGCGGCCGCACTTTATCCCTAGCAAGATTCCTGGTATTCATGATTTATTTAATCCGTCTTGCAGTGCATACACTCATTTATCTCCTTCTCTCCCTCGCACTACATGTTTCGGCATAATAATGCCATCTTCAGGTGCTTACTTATCCACGTCCTGGTATTCATTTCTCTTAGAGGCTGAGTCGACCCCAGGGTCATAATGCGTTGAAAGGATGAAATCAATTGAAAAATCCAATGACCTCATCGGGAATCGAAGCCGCGACCTTGCGGCTTGTAGCGTAGTGCCTCAACCAGACGCGTGCCCTTATCGTCATGCGAAACGTAAAATTGTTTGTTCGTGATGAAATTTTAATGCAGACATTTATTATTCTGTAGTGTTAAATGAATATTTTCAAGGTATCGGACGCAAGCTGTATTACAGATTCATGTGAGTACGCGCATTTTAGGTACCCCTGATCCCAGAAGTTGTCAGGCCATAGCGTATTGAATGTGGCCGATATGAGCCCAGTTTCTCATTAAGTTACTGTTTATTTCTTCGACGTGCTACAAGACATTGCTGTAGGCGAGCATCAAACCGTTTCCCTTCTGACGACCGCAAGCGCACGAGGTAATCGTTTCACTTCCTCGTAGTTACTCCTGACGGAGTATCATGGATTTGTCACTCTGAGTGTCTCCGGTTCGAATCTTGTCCTGCAGAGAATGCCGTGATTGGTCTCGTAAGTCCCACCAAACAAATGACAGGCCTCAGCCTCTTCACCGTTCATCTGTTGTCATTTCTTATTCGACATATGTAAAACATATGAAACTGGTATAACTAAAGAGCCAGCTGATTCCAAGGGAAGCTGTTAGTCGCTCAACTGATAACAAAAATTCTCCGTGTTTTATGTAACCTAGGGATTCATTAATTTCATAACCTGTACTCTTCTCCAAGTATAATTAGAATTATCAAGTCAAAGAGGATGAGGTGGGCAGGACATGTAGCACGAATGGGGGACAAAAGGAATGCATATTGGATATTAGGGGGAAAGCCAGAAGGAAAGAGACCACGGAAGACCAAGGCGTAGGTGGGTGGACAATATTAGAATGGATCTTAGAGAGACAGGATTGGATGGTATGCATTGGATTGATCTGACTCAGGATAGGGACCAGTGGAGGGCTCTTGTGAACATGGTAATGAACCTTCGGCTTTCATAAACTGCTGGGAAATTCTTGAGTAGCTGCAGATTTGGCTTCTCAAGAAGGGCTCAGTTCCATGAGTGAGTAAGTAAGTAAGTAAGTAAGTAAGTAAGGGGTTCATTAATGTGTTCACAAGAGCCTTCCACTAGTCCCTATCCTGAGCCAGATCAATCCAATCCATACCATCCAATCCTGTCTCTCTAAGATCCATTCTAATATCGTCCAAACACCTACGCCTTGGTCTTCCCTGTGGTCTCTTTCCTTCTGGCTTTCCCACCAATATCAAATACGCTTTCCTCTTCTCCTCCATTCATGCTACATTACCTGTCCACCTCATTCTCCTTGACTTGATCATTCTAATTATACTTGGAGAAGAGGACAAGTTATGAAGCTCCTCATTGTGCAGTTTTCTCCAACCTCCCGTCACTTCATCTCCCTTCGGTCCAAATATTCTCCTCAACACCCTGTTCTCAAACACCCTCAGTCTGTGTTCCTCCCTTAATGTCAGAGACCAAGTTTCACACCCATACAGAACCAGAGGCAAAATTGAAACGATAATTTTCATGAAGTCATAAATGTGTCACAGATTTGGTTGTAATTCGATATGGGATATGATTTTTTTCCCGTTTTATCCAGTACATTTTTATGTTTTGCTGAACTAACGTTTTATAAACTGGCCGCAAGTGAGCTTCATAAATTGCAAAGAACGCAGATGAGTACTCTGTAATATAATAATAATAATAATAATAATAATAATAACAATAATATTTGTCCGTGCCATGGAGTCCTAAGGCAAGGAATTTCCTAACTGATTTCCTTATCCGTTCCTAGAGGAGTCATTTGCTTGTTTCGCTGTGGGCTTTTGGTGTTTACAGTTTGTCACGTGAGGTACACACGCGCGTGCGCACGGCTGCATCGTGAAACAGATCACCTGCACCTTGCTGATTAAACAAATAGTTGGGCTTACCACTAGAAGTGAAGAGAAAACGCAGGTGTTATGTTCTTTGGGTTTATATTCTTGCTGATTCATTGTTATCGGCATTATTAAATATGTTTCATTAAGGCAAGAGTGAAAGGTATCCACTCATTTCTCATCATCGAAGAGGCGATTGTAATGATTGATGGGGGGATTGCGGTCCATACTTCCCTTAGTCATCTGCCGGCGTTTGCCTACAGATCCACGTTTGTATATGATCTCCCCTAATGACCTCGAGCATAGTATTTCAGACGGTGGGTCGCGATTCCGCGGGGTGGGGGATCGCAAAGTTTTCAAGAATAATTTAAAATTCAGTTGTATCCACTCGCAGTCTTTATAGGACAGTGAGTCAGGTGTAATTTGGATGCGGCCGTAAAATGTAATCGCAACTGGCAAAGTTTTTCACGAAGTTTATAGCTTGCTGTAGGTGTAAAGAAGTTTCTGTTGTCGCCGTTCAGCTTGGTGGATAGCTTAAGATTATGTATTGTAGCGTGAGTAGCTGTTGCTATGCAACGACTGCGAGATGGGCAAATATACCAGAGCAGATTCTAGGCAACGGCTCGTTGAACACGTTCCCACGACAACGAATACGCAAACAACAATCGAGTTGTTTTGAGGCTATAACAGTGGAAATGATGTTTTCTGTGTGGTTCGTGCCTTAGTGTTATAAGCAGAGTCAGTCGAGTTCCATTGGAGGTAGGGTCGAATACCTCCACCATTGCCCTGCGAGTCGTAGGAGGAGACGAAAAGGGAACCCAGTGCCTGGGGGTATAACCGGGCCACTCTGTTCCTGAGGGATATAAATACGGGGACATGGTACTCCAGGTTGGGGGAGTCTGGAGTCTGAGGCAGTGAAATATGATCAAGGATGAGATGCGCTGGGTATGTAGCATGCGTGGGGAGAAGAGGAATGCATATTGGATTTTGGTGTGAAAACCAGAAGGAAATAGACCACTAGGAAGACCCAGAGATATGTGGGAGGATAATATTAAAATGAATCGTAGAAAGGATAAGGTGGTATGGACTGGATTGATCTAACTTAGGATGTGGACCAGCGGATGACTTTTGTGAACACGGTAATGAACCTTCGGGTTCCATAAAATGGTGGGAAATTTATGAATAGCTGCGCAACTGGCGGCATCTCGAGAAGAGCCCAGCTCCGTGGAGTTAGTTCCATAGTCTTTGTTTAAATATTTGAACGTTGAGGAGAAATTAAGATTGTGTGTCCTTTTGAAAAGTGAACATGCTCACGGTCCGGCGCATTCGAACTGCCGAGTGTGAAGGTTTTCATGATCACAAGGTACAGCGTATTCTGCGGTATGTGCCAGGTGAGGCGCCACCTGAACTAGACTGTATTGAAAACGGTACAAAGGTTTTCAGTGTGTAGGGGGTATTGAGGTTTGTGGTAGCCATTTGATTGCTGTATGGTGACGAAACTGGAGCACTGTTTCAAGCAAATGGATGGCGTACGCGTATGTATAGATGAAGCAAATTTCTCTCGCACTTGATTCCCCTTTTTTGTTGACAGGTGAAAGTGTCACATCGGTTCCTGAATTTTTATACGATGATTAAAAAAACTTCTGTATGGATGTGAAACTTGGTTTCTGACATTAAGGGAGGTACATCCCACCGCGGTGGCCGGGGTTCGATCCCGGGACTGGTCAAGTGGGATTTGTGGTGGAAAAAGTGGCGCTGTGGCAGGTTTTCTCCCAGTACTTCGGTTTTCCCTGCCAATCTTCATTCCACCAATTGCTCCACAATCACCCTCACCTATCATCTGCGGCTGGTACAATAGGTCAGAAGTGGCCGCAGTACAAGGGACTTAGTCCCACCCCACTAACAATAAAAAAAAAAGGGAGATCCATGGACTGAGGGCGTTTGAGAACAGGGTGTTGAGGAGAATATTTCGACCGAAGAGGGTTGAAGTGACAGGAGGTTGGAGAGAACTGCATAATGAGGAGCTTCATAACTTGTGCTCTTCTCCAAGTATAATTAGAATGATTAAGTCAAGGATGATGAGATGGGCAGGGTATGTAGCACGAATGGGGGAGAAGAGGACTGCATATAGGGTATTGGTGGGAAAGCCAGAAAGAAAGAGACCACGGGAAGACCAAGGCGTAGGTTGGTGGACAATATTAAAGTGGATCTTAGATAAGATGGGATGATATGGATTGAATTGATCTGGCTCAGGATAGGGACCAGTGGAGGGCTCTTGTGAACACGGTAATGAACCTTCGGGATCCATAAAATGCTGGGAAATTCTTGAGTAGCCCAAGATCTGGTTTTTCCTCAAGAAGGGCCCAGCTCATTAAGTAAGTACGAATAAAAAAATGTAATTTTTGTTAATATAATTTTTATAGGAACTGGGGAAGTACGTTGGTCGCCCTAAATATTGCTTTGGGCCCTGATCTGATGGCTAAAACTGGAGATCCGTTCTAGCCTGACATGACAGCAGGCCGTAAAGGGATTCTGTATGCAACGTTTTGTATGCTGAAAGATGATAAGAAGTAGTAGCGGTACCTACGCTTGTGTCCTGCGTCTCTCCAGTACTGGAAGTCTGCAGGCACATTTTGTGTAAATAAATCACCAAGTTATATAATTTTAAGCATTTCATTCTTTTTTTAAAGAATTAAGATCGTTACGCGACCGCCTCTGTGGTCTAGTGGTCAGAGTTCCTGGCTACAGATCCACAGGTCCCGGATTCGATTTCCGGCGCTACCAGATATTCATAGAAGTAGTGGGTCTGGAACGGGGTCCACTCAGCCCCGTGAGGATAATTGAGGAGCTATTTCAAGGAAATAGCGGCTCAGGTCTAGAAAACCGAAATTAACGGCCGTGGGGATTCGTTGCGCTGACCACTTGACACCCTCTGTCCACTAAAGTTGGCACTAACTTCGCCGACAAGCAGCGGTCGCTCGGTCGGTATAGTTCGCTTGCGGCCTCCAGCCACGGAGTCTTTTTGTCTTTTGTTTGAGATATGTGAGATGTGTATGTGTGTGTTTCCCTTCAGATTTTGAACAGAATAACCGATGTTTACAAAAGTGTTAACGCTCTTGGGTAGGAAAGGTAGCGGGACGGGCGTTAATTTAAGAAGTTTCGATAGCTGCCAGCTACAGGAAATTCCCTTCGGTAGTGGGCTCAGTATACATTGATTACGCAGTGGGAGGTATTTAAATGCATGCTTCTGATACATGGGTGCCAAATGGTCACAGCGTTGCTCTAGCCCTAGGGAGGAGATCGGTAGGCTAACACCACACTGTATTTCCTTAGCTGCAGTTCATGATACCTCTTTGGATGGTGTTGAAGGCGACTGTGGAGGTGCCTCTCAGCTGAGCTGTACTGTCGACCTGTGGACTGACTGTCAGAGGGCTATAGGGCACGTCCTTCCCTCTCAATTCTACCGTTATGGCCCTATGATTATTATGCCGCTGAAGGCCGCACTTAACGTGTAAGTTTTAATTTACTGAAGTGAATAATAATAATAATAACTTCTTAATTCCTTCATTTTAGGCCCAAATATTCTCAGCATCTTTTTCTCACATAACCGCAATCTGTATATTCTGCCATTTGGGTTAGACACAAAGTGTTGTACCAATTGAAAACAACGGCAAAAATTATAATTTTCTATATTTTAATCTTAGTGTTTATTGGGGATAGGAGACTGGAAAACGGTTCGTGTATTCCCCCAGTTTAATCTCTGATTCATGTGTGCTGTTGGTTACTTGTAACACGCGTCACGTATCATTACGCATTTCGTATTCGTCATGCCATTGCACTCAGATCAGAATGTATTTGCCTGAATTTATCATGTTACGGTAGGTAAACTATGTCTCTGCCTTCATGTAATTGAATATTTCGGCTTTTGTTTCAATTATTGGTGCCGCGTTCAATTCCCGATGAGGTAATCGGGATAACTTTGTGTGTAACACTGACCTCACCGCCATCTATGTCTAGAAAATGTGGGAGCCTCGACGTCTCACAACCCTATGGGCCTCCACGGTCTGTTACAGGGATAGCTTGGCGCGTAAGACTGACAACCTCACCGCCATCTTTAAGCCGATTGTCTGGAAAATGTTGGAGCCTCGACGTCTCACAACCCTATGGGCCTCCACGGTCTGTTACAGGGATAGCTTGGCGCGTAAGACTGACAACCTCACCGCCATCTTTAAGCCGATTGTCTGGAAAATGTTGGAGCCTCGACGTCTCACAACCCTATGGGCCTCCACGGTCTGTTACAGGGATAGCTTGGCGCGTAAGACTGACAACCTCACCGCCATCTTTAAGCCGATTGTCTGGAAAATGTTGGAGCCTCGACGTCTCACAACCCTATGGGCCTCCACGGTCTGTTACAGGGATAGCTTGGCGCGTAAGACTGACAACCTCACCGCCATCTTTAAGCCGATTGTCTGGAAAATGTTGGAGCCTCGACGTCTCACAACCCTATGGGCCTCCACGGTCTGTTACAGGGATAGCTTGGCGCGTAAGACTGACAACCTCACCGCCATCTTTAAGCCGATTGTCTGGAAAATGTTGGAGCCTCGACGTCTCACAACCCTATGGGCCTCCACGGTCTGTTACAGGGATAGCTTGGCGCGTAAGACTGACAACCTCACCGCCATCTTTAAGCCGATTGTCTGGAAAATGTTGGAGCCTCGACGTCTCACAACCCTATGGGCCTCCACAGCCTGTTACAGGGATAGCTTTACCAAACCTTATTGGTGCCGCGCTCTGAAATACAACAGTGCAACACATTTCCATGTGTTAACGGACTTTAAGTTATCTCCTTTTCCGATTTTAGTGCTGGGAAGTGATGATACTCGGACCTTTACAACGTTTGTAGGGTCGTGATGTACTTTACAGCCTATTTGAACTTGCTGTGCAAAGTGAAGCATTAAACGAACCGGTGGGTCGAAGAGCCATACATTCCGGGATGTAACTCCGCGTAGTCCGTTGATAGTCAACCTACATTTCGGATGAACTTGTCACCTCCATCTTCATGGTCGAAAAATATGCAAAGCAAGAAGCTAGCACGAAGACGGTAACAAGCAGAGCTGATAGTAGGTCAATCATGAGTTGACTGACGCAACGTTCCATGTTCGATTCTTGGCATGTGCCCTGAGGATTTCTGTATTCATTACTCTGCTAATTGAGCTTATGAAGCTTCGTGTTAAATTGGTAGAGCACTAAACTAATTGATAGATCAGTCAGGAATGACAGACTTAATATTCCGTGTTCGAATCCTGGCAGATGTTCTGAGGATTTCTGTGTTCATTATGACGATGTTGAATCTCTCCAAGCTTTATATTCTATGGAGAAAGCGGACTTGAAGCAGCAAAACCATGGACTTTTAGCACTGATCTCTGCATAGTGTCACGTGATTTCCACGTAATGTTCATGCTTATGGACTACTTCACCTGTTACCAGTTTAAACCGAACTTTTCATCTTAATTAATTTATACTGACCATTACTCAGTCCACTAAAGGCGATGTAATTGCTATAAATTTGGTGTAATACAATAGCATGCCATATATAATTTTATGGACGTCATTGGGGGGTCATTATTTCATGAACTACTTGCAGGAAGTCATTATTGAACTCGGTGTTTGGTGTTAATTCTGTTCATTGTTAGGGAAATGACCTGGTATTGACGGAAGAGTTCTTCTGGCTTTGTGTCCCTCCTGCTCCTGTGAGAGGAACAGCATGAAGGCGGGCTTGTTTGAGGCTTATGCTAATAATTCTTGTGAGTTCTATACTCGAGACTCAGAATTGTCCTGCGCAGAAATCTGTAACCTGCAGCCCCCCCCCCCCCC